TCCACTTTCTACTCTCTCCCTCATCGAAGGTTCTTGGAAAAGAAAGACAATAGAAACCGCACGTTTCTAATATAGTTAATGTTGCTGTCATTGTCTGCACAGATATAGAGATAGTCACGTTTGCCGACATTAGAACACGCAACATATATTTGTGTGTTTATAATAGTGATTGTTTAAATGGTATTATTAGGACAGTTAAAAAATGGGGTTTTTTTTCTATTATTACAGACCAAAGCTATTTGTATTCTTTTCAAAGAGGCGGAGATAAAGCTTACTACTGTACTTGTAAATAACCAAGTAAGTCGTGAAAAAAATGAGAATAACGGAGGAAGCGTTAGTAAAATATAAACAAATTAAGAAATGAAAATTTTAAAATCATGTGTTAAGCTCTTTAAGTTAAAAGTTTAAGTCATCACCCCGCCCCCTCCCCCATCCACCGACTACTGCTCTCTCCCTCTTCGAAGGTTTTGAGTGTCATCACCTGCCGATATTTTTTTGTAACTGACCTTGATATCCCTGTCCATCCGGACTAAAATGGGGAGCAGGAATTGTAATGAGTGGTAAATGCGGCTAGTTTAATATTTACAACACTATCCTTCGAGTACCAGTACAACTGCTACCACCACAATTACTAAAATAATGTCACTACTATCTGTTTTGCCATCGGAGTAGACAGAGAGTCGTGAGCCAGAAGATTTGGCGCCGCATGGCTAGTACTGGTCAGGTTAGGGTTTGTAATTTCGCCCTCTGACAGAAAAACGCTATTACCTTACCGGCGGTCTCCGGCATGACAGCACTACGGTGTGACCGCCCAACCACAAATACTACTACTGCTACTTTGAGTGGGTAAGGCAGTTACTGTGACTTAAAGCTTTCTCAGTTAACAGTTTATGTTACAATGCCCCCTCCCCTCACCCAATTTACAGACTACTCTGTTTCTCATCGAAGTATTTTGGAGAAAAATATAACCAGGTGAAAAGTAGCGAAAACAGAAAAAATCCACCATATTTACCAAATGAATGCTATGGTAAGCAATACAGCCTAATTCAAACGCAATGTCAGACGAAATAAGATCAAAATGACAATAAATAGAAATCTATAACAATTCAACGTTACCAAGCAATCGGAAAGTTTGAAATGAAATCTTAAGTATGCGAAATGGTCAAATTTAATTATCAACTGGTTTACTTTGGTTTTTTTTTTTAGTAAATAGGGCCGCATGGCTAGTGCTGTCGCCCTGACAGTGATTGTTAGGATTTTATTTTGCCCCCGCCCCCCCCCCCCCGTAAAAAAATTATACCTTTATGTCCTAACCAATCAGCCAACCAACCACTTCTTTGCAGCAACGAAAAGAGAACAGAACTATTGGAGATGTGTGTCCCGATTCTTACACAACTCAAAACCGCAGGAAATTGTTTTCTCAATAACAGATATCCCAGATATAAACTTTAAGTATTATTGAAACGGCACAACAGTAGAAATTAAACGTGTATAACACGGTTAATGTCGCAATCATTGTCTGCACAGACATAGTCTTTGATGCGCCCCCCCCCCCTCCCGCTCAAATCCGCCGACTACTCTCTAACTCATCGAAGGTTGTTTGAAAGGAAAGAAAATAGAAATCCTGTCTATTATGGTTAATGGCGCAAGATACAGAGATAGTCTGTTTTGCTGTACAATGCCGGCGAATGGTAGAAGTTGTGCGTTCCGACCATTGCTCATGCACATTTAAGAACGTGGCTTTAATTAAATGTCACTAATATAAAAATATTTTCCTAACAAATGTCGCCACCTATTTCAAACCATGACAGATAGAATTCCGGTATCAAAACAAAAATAACCTGAACATTTCAGCGAAATCAGTTTAGTGGTTTCCGAGTCTATAGGTGACAAACAAACACACAAACATTAATTTTTATATATGTATATAGATTTTATCGGAGGAGTCGTCGGCTCTGTTCTCAATGCGAACGCTTTGTAATGCCGGGATGCCGGGTTCGATCCCAGCTGGGTGCCATGCGCCTTGTGTTGGTTTAGACAGTAGTATCAAGAAAGCCGACCGTCCAGTAAGCAATGGCAAACTACTTGACGTAAATTTGCCTAGACCACACAACAGCCATGGGCTGTTGGGGTTGGTTCTGCAACGTCCTGTAAAGGATACGCAACTAACCTATATTACCGGAAAACGAGAATATATCGGGAGATAGAAACAAGATTCCAACGAGCCAGTGCTCTTATGCACCAACTGACACCGTTGCTAAGACATCCAAACATAAGTATGAGGCCAAGAAACAGATTATAAACAGCATATTCATACCATCATTGTGCTGCCAATGCCAGACTTGCAATTTATTGAAGGCTAACCTAAGTAATTGAGTCGCCGTGGCGTAGCGGCTAGACGCTCGCTTGCGGGTCCGAAAGGCGTGGGTTCGCTCCCTGGCGAAGCCGACCTTTTTTCAAAAATGAGCTTTTCCCAGGTCAACCCAGCCTTGTGTGGGTACCAGGTGCAGTCCGGGGAAGTAAAGGCGACCGGCGTAATGCTGACCTCATCACCCATCTAGTGCCGATTGGTCTCTACAAATAAAGGTCTAGCCCTTTATGTCCTATACGCCTAAAGGTGTGGAAAAAGGAACTTTACTTACTTCACTTCAACCTACGTAAGATAATCACCTGTGAAATTAAATGATTGAGAAAAGCCGCCAACTAAACCATCCGAGACAAAGTTAGAAACGATATTATCAGACAGGCTGTAGGAACAACACCATACAGCAACGTGACTGAGAAACAGAAGATCAAATAGTTTGGTCGTTTAGTAAGAATGCAGCCAGAACAACTACCAATTCAGGCGTTACAGTGAAAAGATCTGAAATGAAACAAGAGGCCGCCCTAGGAGGATATGGACTGATGACATTAGAGCTTCATCAACACAGAATGACGAAAGCCACTGCAGCCCATCAAGTAATAAATCGCAGAATGTTCCTCCACACAGCGCTTAACGACAAAGTAGAAATTGGGGATGATTATGATAATTGCAGTTAAATTACGCACATCTTCTGTTGCCAAGCGATTTTGGTTGTCTTTTTTGTTTTTTTAAACTAACGGTTTGACATGGAAGCGGATTGATAAACCACGTTAGATCTCAGTTCAGTGATATATTCTTTCAACCCTATAATTCTAAACAGTGTTTTGCCGTTATAAATTTAAATAACTCCGCGTTTGATGAAGCCCGTGGGGCACCCATTCTGGATGTAAAGTTTTCTTGATGGTTGCAATTTCTGCTGCCAGTGCATCTTCGATAGAAATCTTTTTGGCACGGTTAAACAAGTTTTTTACAAGGCCACGCTTATATTGAACAGGAACAAAACTGTGAAAGTTTAATTGTTTGTGTCATCATTATTTAAACCTTATAATTTCCACCTGCCCGGGAGATTGATTATGTCTTCCATCTGTCAGTGTTTATCTTCTTGCAAGGGCCAATAAATACAAGTCGTGACAATTCGCCAGGTTCCCTGCATGAGTGTCTGTACCGTGTGCTGCCGTGAATGTATTGATTAGACAGATTTGCTAAAGACTACAAAGAATCAGACAGAGCCACTTGTCTCCAGATATCGTAGCTACAGGTCTAGCGAAGTTAGCAGACCGTGCCTTCTTCCCCGCGGACTGGCCGCTGAAACGTGCCTGCCTTCGGCTGACACCTCCTTGGATATAGTGGAAAAATTATGTCCTACGTGGCAAACTTGGTGTCGCCTTAAGGATATGGCTGGAACGTTTAACCGCAAGCCTAGTGGTCTAGCGTTTGAATTCTGATGAAAGCGGATTTAAACACAAAAATTAGCTGGACCCCTGGTCTACCCAGCCTAATATGAGTAACGGGGAATGTCATTAGAAAAGAAATGTGACTGATGTTGAGCACGGTCTCCTGAGTAGTCAGCGAGGAGTTCCCACACTTAACGTGCTGGTTGAAATTTTAATAAGAATCTGTCTGTCTTTTCCTCTGTAATTTTTACGGAGATCACTGGAAATCGTTGCACGAGATCTGGAGTTCGTGTTTGTGCTACGCTTTCTTGAGACGGCTAGCCGTTCTAGGGAGAGAGACCGAACCATATGAGATAATACCCGGTGCAATAAAGTGGATCCTTAGGACTTTGACCTTGACCACTTAATCCCAGAGTACCTTCAGCACGCGCTCTTTATAATTTAGTAGCACATCACCACGAGGCACGAGAGCAGCAGATCTGTTGTTAACCGGCTCGTTGCCACGAACACCCGACATTTCATGAGTACGCCTTTAAAAATCATGATTTGCTACTGACCTATTTGTCTATTAACATATGGAACAAACATCGTAAGCCTGATGCGCCGCAAGACGAGATAAGTGTTACTTACTTAGGCGCTTTCCTGCATTCTGCCTGCCTTAGTCAGGTACACACAAAGGTAGTGATGGACTGGTAGGTAGGTGGCTAGAGTGACAGACCGACTAGGGAGTTGGTAGAGAGGTGCAGAAATAGGAAGATAAATCGGTAGACACTAATGATGTTTCAGAAATAACTTACACGTCTGTCTGTCTGTCTGTCTGTCTGTCTGTCTGTCTGTCTGTCTGTCTGTCTGTCTGTCTGTCTGTCTGTCTGTCTGTCTGTCTGTCTGTCTGTCTGTCTGTCTGTGGGTGGGTGGGTGAGTGGGTAGTTGGGTGGGTGGGTGGGTGGGTACGTGCGCTCGCCATAATAAAATCAGTCTCATTACTTAATTGTCGAACCTTGTATATATATATATATATATATATATATATATATATATATGTGTGTGTGTGTGTGTGTGTGTGTGTATGTGTGTGTGTTATTTATATACACACGCAGTTTAGGCAACCTTTGTTGTGAAGATAACACACATTCTGTTTGACTATGGTACTGAATTTGGCTGTTTATGTTTTGACAGGTCCAAGTACCAGATGTCTGGCTTCATTCTGGCACATGGTCTGGCAGGAAGGTGTCGCCTGTATTGTCATGGCAACGGGCTTATTTGAAAATGCAATGGTAAGTAGTTATTCAGTTATTATGGGGCTTCCTTGTTTTAGAATGATTGTTGACTTACTACCGGAAGACGGATATCATCTACAGCCTACTGACATCATTAATGAGGAAAGTGCATGTGAAAAATAGATTAACGCTTAGATGGCTAGCATAGATGGTATTAATAAAAATTAATAAAGACAACAACTTCAACATGGACCTGATTTAAGACTTTGCTGACCGTTGTAGACTCCTAACCGTTAATACCAATGTCTATCAGTATGACTGGACATGTAAGTGATGATGATCTTCGGCAAAATTCTCTTTAACTCTTTTAGTGCTAAACACCTCAGGATGTGTTTGTTGGTTTCACTTGACAGGATACACATTTCTAAACTCATTATGACCAATCCAGTCTTACATCCACTTAAACAGCACCAGTTCTAATTTTAGCTCATTCTGTCCTAAAGCACTAATATTTTAAATCGTTACATCAAAGAAACCTGCCTGTGTTTCCCCAAACTGAGACCTAGCTCATAAATAAGCCCTAACATAATTTCTAGGCTGCTCATAATGTATGCCCTATCATGAATATAAACCCTGGCTAAAATAGTCAGCCAGACGGATGAAAAACGCAACAGACGTACTGATTTGTAAAGTATTAGGTTTATTAAATAATAAACACAAACTAAAGGACAGTATTGACATTAGTGATGTAATTAGATAATAATTCAAACATAAATTTGTATTCATGAAAAAATAGGACACCTCCTAAAAATAGGCCCTAGATCGTCTTTTCAAGCAACAATATATTTATGGCCTAGTTTTATTTTTCAAAGAAATAATGTTTTAGTTAAATTAAAGTAGTAAGAATTAAAGTAGAGTGAGTTAAAATAATTGTTACTTTGTTTGAAAGAGTTAAAGTTTGAGGATGAACTTTTGCCAACATTTGTTGTCCAGCCTTGGCCTGTAGCTAATGCAAGACTTTCAGTACAGAAAACCAAGTCCACAACACCAATGCTCTAACCAATACACGAATATGCTTTAAATATTCTAGTTTGAATGGATTGTGTAATAATTTTTCAAGATATTAGTTTACATGTCTTCTTCAAAATTTCAACTGCTCAGGAATTGTTGATGTGCATTTCGAGGGACAAAAATCAAAAGACCATGATATGCCATTTGGTGAACTGGGCATTTATTGTTGAGCCATAGTTGATAAACCAGACAACACTTGAAGGGCAATGTGGTCAACAACATGACAATGATCTTTACTTCATGAAACTCATTTTAGCCTGAGTCAGCCTGGAAGCCAGTGTCACTTAATACAAAATCCACCCTAATCAGATTTGACAACAAAACCTTCAAACAGACACTCAGTCATCCAGCCATTTCACTACTATGGCTCCTGTGAATTTGGAACTTCCCAATTTCCCCAGAGCAGAAAATAATGATGCCTTTGTTTTACAGTTTGTTATTTTTAATTTGCCTCTTCCTATCAAGGTAACATAATCTTTATTTGAATGTGGATATTTAACTGCTCATGGTCATTCTAATTCTGGATATGTGTGTTCTATATACTGCGTTTCCTTAAGTTGAAATATACATTACATCTGATTAATTATTGTCCTAATGGACAACATTAAGGACCTTTATATACCTTGAGCCGCATCAGTTGCTAATCCAATATTTCTATAGATCAAACCACACTCAATGGGCGATGTGTTCAACAGTATGCCATTGTCCAGTAGCCACACAACACTGTCCCTGTGTGGGTTCCTGGACCCTGTTGTGGACAGAAAAAAAGAGTAGACTGCATCCCTTATAAGCATGTCATAAGAGTCAATTAATTATAGGTTTTCTTCAAAGTCAGGGTGCATCTGTCTGAGAGGCGAGGAACCAACAGTCTGCAAATAAACCAAATCTGTAAAATTGATGTGCACGTAAAACCCAAGTTCTGGAGCAAGGCTTAGGTCCAGACAAACAGCAGGAACTTTCCTCTAGATTTTACAGTCGGTGAGTGTGGAAAAGAAGAAGACAACACTCGGGACAACTATATACATGCTCTGTCCTCATCTTTAGCAGCCAGCAAAGAGTTCCAATTCCAATGGTACCAGAAGCAGTTTATGTATGTCTGCCCTGTAAATATAAGATGTTGGTCAGAACCCCTGGTCACCCCCAGCCACACCATTATAGCCACACCATTATGGTCTGTTCACACATCTACATTAAGTTAACCGACAAGCGTAGGTAATGAGTAGAAATCAACTTTATGGTAGAACTCAACCTACCAGGTTGGACAGCAAGTATATTAGCCACTGCACTAGTGCATCTCTCTTGACTTCTTCTTCAGGCTTCTGAGCCATTGAAGTTCATTGCTGCAACTATCACCCACCTCTATACCAAAAGTTGACCTTCTCTGACTATTTGGTGACTCAGAGTGCTTGTCAGTGCTGTATGCACGTGAAATATGGACTGTATACCAGGGCCAGGCCAGAAAGTTCAACTACTTTTACACAGACTGCCTTAGAAAACTAATACAGATCAGATGGCAAGACAAAATACCTGATACCGTAGTCCTTGAGAAAGCAGCCATGCCCAGCATCCACACTCTACTGATGCAGTACCAAAATTGGTACACATGCTCCCAAAAAACTCTTTTATGGTGAGCTACAAAATGGGAAATGTGCTCAAGACGGGCAAAAGAAACACTTTAAGAACACCTTGAAGACTTCACTCAAAGCATTTGAGATGAATGAAACCAATTGGGAGGCTGCCTCTTAAGACCAAAATACATGGCCTGCAACTCTACACAAGGGCGCTTCTACATGTGAAAAAAAACAGAACATCAAGACTGATTAAGAAAAGGATGGACAGAAAGGTGACTGCAGGAGATCCCCTCCCTGGCACAACACTCATTCCCTGTCCTCACTGTCCAAGAACTTTTCGGGCCCCCATCAGCCTTATCAGTCATCTTCGTACTCGATGAAAAAGAGTGGTTATCATCATCTTGATGGACAATACATAAGTCTAGAAATTGACAGATAACTAGAATTTTCTGCCAGCATTTACAGAAGATGAAAGGGGGAAATTAAAGGGAGAAAAGAGTAGTTATTTAAAAAGCTCTAAGACTCTAAGACTTGTTTATTTCCTGTTTACTCCACAAAACTTCACAAGTGTATTAATATTATTCCTGCAATGGTTTTTCCTGGTTTTGTTAATATTTCTTACTGTTATGAAATGAAAAGAAAAACAAAAATTCTTATCTCATTTATTTTTCACTCCATAAATACTTAACATTCTGAAATTACGTTTATTGTGCTTCGTATTATCAAAAAGAAATCTGTTGTCTCAATTCAAAAAAAAATTCTGCCTCCATTTTTTAATAAACTATTCACACTCCACCACATTTGAGTAATTATCTTCTGCCTCATCTTCACGGAACAATCCATACTTTTCAATCTCATTAATCCAGCAATAATAACTGTACACTGCACTCTGGGATAAAAATCATGTGTGTTGTTGGCTGGTTGCTATAGCAACAAGCAGTGTGTGCAGTTGTAGCTAGTCCCTGGTATTTCCAGCATGAACTGGTAGATCTGTGATGTTTTTGTAAGTGGCATCATTTGTGTGTCACTGAGGTGGAAGTATGTAGACAGGCAGGCATTCAGACATCAATCTCCATATGGATGTTTACAGATAGACGGAAAGACTCAAAGGTGTAGATAATGTCAAAAGAGAAAAGATTGGGACAAAGAATAGAAATTTAAAGAAAAAAATAGAGAAATTAAGAGAGAAGGAAGAAAAAAAAAAAAAAAGAGAGAAAGAAAGAATTGTTGACATTTATCAGCTACATATCCACTTATGTTGACTGGACATCAAAGAATCAGATAAATAACATATTCACACATTTTATTCACATATTTGCACACATATCTACTTACATGCACACAATTACACACATACACATGAACGTACGCACAGAGAGAGAGAGAGAGAGAGAGAGAGAGAGAGAGAGAGAGAGAGAGAGAGAGAGAGAGAGAGAGAGAGAGAGAGAGAGAAGAATATGAGAATATTGTTTGCACTTTTAGTGATACATTAAAACATATACTGAGAATATGAGAACACTATTAACACTGCTGGCATATATGCAAATACATCATTAATGATTTGGGAAAATTATATGCACTGTCTGTGATATGTACAAACATATATAAACATAATACATAGAAAATATGGAAGATTTTTTACATCCTTGGTAAAACTCTTGCCAAGTACTGATTGCCCTTGCAAATATGAGTCCAGGAACATATGCCCAAAGTGACAGGGGCAAAAAAACAGGGTCCTTTGCTTTTGTTTTTTCTGTTTCTATACAAACTTTGTCATGGCAAGGGTGTTTCAACAGCTGTTGTCTGTTGATATGTTGCCTGGCCACTGCAGTATTTTTCATGACAATGCAAACATATTGTTTCAGGTACATCACACTGTTTATGAACCACCTTCCTTTGATGTTAAGGTCTTATTGAATATCAAAATTCAGTTTGTTCTTGGTCAGCTGAATGTTTATCATTCTCATTTAGCACCTAAGCTAATCAATCTAAGTTTCCAGAAGATTTAGTATTCTTGAGACACTCAGTGAATTGCAGATGAATATTTAAGCAACAAATACAGGATATTTACACAACAACATATATATAAAAATGAGACCTATTCCATCAGATATTGAATACAGCATGACTTGACAAGTAGTGGGATAGATTCTCCTTTAGATTTTTTGTATGCACAAGTTGGAGAACCACCAAAGATGAAACAAAAATTAAATGCTTTAGAAAATAAATGTTTGAGACAAATCATGAACATGAAATGGGATGAATTCAAAAAGAGTAAGGAGATCAGAGAAATGTCTTGATAAATACATGTGTCCACTGCAGTAAGACAAAGATGGTGGAGATATATTGGGCACACTCTGAGATGAAATAAGCAGAGAATTACAAAACAGGCACAGAAAAGGGAAACAAATGGTCTGAGAAAAAGAGGACATCCAAGGAAACATTAAGAAGAACATTGTTACGAAAAGCTAAAAACACTGGGCTGAACTCTGTGTCAGAAATGGAGAAAATTGCTTGCAATAAGGAGTGAAGGAATTGAATGCGAGCCCTATATCACATGTAATGGCACAAAAGGATAATGATGATGGTGTTAACAATTGAAGAGAGATAATATGTTTTAAAAAATCCTGCCAGAGTAACAAGCAGTGGATTCAGTAGAAAAACAAGATTATTATGGCCTGGAGAGAATGAGGCACCTGGGTGTAATCAGAGGGTCTGGCCGGCTCACTACACTCAGAGGAAAGTCGAGACAGAAATATAACCAGATTGTGACCGGTATCATCAGTATTGGAACTATGCACTGGCTGCTGAAGATGAGGACAGAGCACACATGGGAATACCCCAAGTGCTGTGATGCCAATTTTTGACTCAACTCAGCTCACCTCAACTCAGTCAGTGACATTCCATATGTAAACAGACGGGTAGGAAAATTTGATATTTTCTAACCAACAAGAAAAAATTAAAAGACAGTTTAAAAACAAAAACAAACAGTGACTTCTTCCATACTTTAGTTTAAATTAGAAAATAAATACAGACACCTCTGACTTGTCATAAGTGGCAAAAGTTTGTTCTTGATGTAATGCAGCCTATGCAACATTAAAATCATGATGTCTAGTTGTCCTTTACTTTCCAGGGAGTTATAATCCATTAAATCACAGACGCTGTTTACTTTAAATTTCCTTTTGATAAGGGGTTTAAAAAAACACAGGTGACAAAAAGATTAAAGTAATACATGAGACAGAATGGGTTGCAGTGACACAGGAAATAGAAAGGTTAAAGTAATACATAAGACAGAATGGGTTACAGTTCTTCTTCTTCTTTCGTTCGCCTGAAATAAGTTGTCTAAATCAGCAATTTTTTCTCTTGTATAAAGTTTAATGTCTTTGTTAGTTCATTCAGTGGTCCATAAAGTTTACATTCCACTGTTGTTCTTTCTGGCCAAAAGGTTTGCGTTAATGTGTCAAATTCGGTGCAGTCCTGGAGTACATGCTCTGCTGTCTGGGGCACCTTTCCACAGGTGCACATGGCTGATACACCTATCTTGAATTTTGTGTACATGTGGCTACCTAATCGTTTGTGCCCTGTTCTGATCTGTCCATAATAAAATAGTCGTCCTGTGTGGGGCTGGTGGTTTCCTGATCGATTTAATTATTCATTTCTTGGTATGTGACTGTTACCTCCGGCTGCACTTTTATCGCACCTTCCCTTGCCAGTTGATCAGCTTTTTCATTTCCAGGCACAATGAGACAGTATCCACTGCATTACGACTCTTCGCTGAAGGCTGAGTTGTGTCAGCAGTGTTTGCAATTCTGGTAGTTACCTAGACTGGAGTGCTTCAAGTATGGATTTTGCATCTGTCAGCATTACCACATACTGTGTGCCAAGATAGGTATTTAGCAGTGTCTCTGTTGCTATCTTGATAGCCTGAGTTACTGCATCATAGTTCTGGCAATACTTCCGGGTTGGTATGCTGGACTTATCCCTAGTACTATCTGGGAATTCTATGTACACTCCAACCCCACCATTCCTAACTGCACTTTGTGCGGACCCATCTGTAAAGATTCGGACCCATTGTTCTTGTGAGTATTCTTTATCAATATAACTGAGGGTGGCCATTCTGCGTTGTACACTATCTTGTTCTTTCTTGTCAAATATTCCTATCACATTTGTCTGGATTTGTACTGTTAGTTTGCATTTTTCTCTTCATGGGGTTTGTTCTGGAATATGGGTTACAGTGACGCAGGAAACAAAATGATTAAAGTAAAACATGAGATAGAATTGGTTATAGTGACACAGGAAATGGAATAGAGGAGCGCAAGAGACAAAATGGGTCAAAGAAACACATAAAACAGAATGAGTGGGAGTCTCAGTGGCAGATTGGTTAGGTTGTGGTTTTATTTCTAGGCTGCATCGTTTGGTTCACAAGTGCAGTCTTTCAAGAGATTCCTGGGTATCGTTGCCAGTGCTACTGAGTTTATGCTTTGTGTGAGACTTTCGGCAGGCAGCTAGCCATTCTGTTCAGAGATGGAGCCATCTGGGATTCAGTCAAGTGTTATGATATCAGTCTTCTCATCTTTAAACTTTAACCTTTAAAAGAGGATAAATTAACACATTATACAGAATAAAGAAACACAGCATACAGAATAAAGTAACTCATGGGACACAATAAAGTAACACATAAGGCATACACAATTAAATTAATATACATAAGGCATAAATAGCCAAAAAATGGAAAAACACATATTTAACATAAAACTTCAGCATATTCGGTCTCTTAAATCACTTTCTTCTGTTTTGTGTTAAATTTAATCTTTTTAGTTTCCTGTGTTTCTTTAACTCATTCAGTCTCATGTATTACTTTATTCTATAGAAGATTTGGCTCTCATGTGCGAGATCTATGTTTGGTTCTCAGTAATGGATGGATTTTGTTTCTGGCTTTTGTGGCAACTGTACTAGCCAGTTGGACTTAAATTCCCAGGCTCACGACCACTCTGTCATACACCACTAAGTTGTAAATACCAGTGGTGAAGACTTTTTGTGTGTGCAGTGTTTTACTTTAATATATTCTGTACCTTGATGATGGTGAATCTGGTTAGTAAGACAAGCTGGCATTAGGAAGTCTTCCACAGTGAGTGCATGTGATTTCAGTGTCATTGTTTCTAGAGTGTATTGTTCTGTTGTGCGTCCTAAATGCCCAGTTTTTAGTGTTTTTGTAGTCACTTTTTCCTTCTTAATCTATTTCCCTCGTGTATCCCTCTCCCTGCCCCGACCAGCTATAGAGTGCCATCTTAAGACATCTTCTTTCCATAATACCATCTCAGTTTATGTCCAGTTATCAGAGCAGAGGTCAGTCACGCTATTTATAACTATCCACAATAATCTTCTCCTTTATCTTTATTCTCTTTGACATTTCACACTCAAAGCAAAAGGATAACATCCATAACATACATAATTAAACAATATATATTTTAAAACACTATACCCACAACAGGTGTACAGTAGAACATATCACAATATACATTCACGCAGACCAAATGATATTCTTATACAAATCAGGCCAAAACACATAACTAGTGACTCAAATACAGACCACACAAACATGCACTGAAACGCAAATAATACAATTCATATACTATTATTCACACTATGATTAGTGACAACTGGCAAACCTGATATCAGAAAAAGAAAGAAGTTTATCTGGATGATTTGATATTATCCTGACAAGATCACAGACTGAGCGTCATGCTCTAGTGATCAGGTGGTATCACAGACCGTAATTACACCAACACATCATGATGATAATAAGACATTTTTGAGGCAGTGTCAGTCTACGCCATGTTGGCCAAAAGATAATGTTGTCATTCCTGAAGATTACTGTAACCATGCATCGTTCTGTAGGTAAGTGGGTATGCTCAAGAAAACTTATAACCTACATCAGAAGTATACATTTTTCGGGCTTGCCAAGAGAACTGGAAAACTGAAGTACACTGTGATAACACGAAAGCTGGAGGGGAAGAGTGCTAGGAGATGATATAATAGGCAACAATTTTCTTTTAAGTATTTAGAGTAATAAAACTGTCACTCACTGTTATATGCCTGTTTGAAGAATAATTTGTAAAGTTTAAAAAACAAATCAAAAAAAATTTGTCAGATGTTAATTACTCATGAATATTCCTGTCCTGTGGTACCTCTAGCAACAGTGTGACAAGTACTGGGTCGAAAGCACACAGCAACATGTACAGCATGGGCAAATTCATATCTGGCATCAATGGTCTACCACTTTGGCACAACTAAAAATACGCACTTTTCGAATACAGAAGGTTAGTCTTTAAATTGTCACTTTAAGAACAACAATAAAAAAAAATGTAAATAAATGTTTCTTCTACTTTTTTTTTTAATGACATACATTTATTAATATTGCTGTCATTCTACCTATAGCAGCAACAAACTGGTACAAAAACACCATAAGTTGCATTTGATATAAACTTTAAAAATGTAACACAATTTGTGTCTGGCTGTTATTTCCAAAAAATATTAAAGATTTGTGATCTGTTGGTCTTGTACAAAGAAAGGACTAGTAGAAATCATGACACACTTCTACTGGTGTGTCAGCAGAAGTGAAAGGACTAGTAGAAATCATGAGACACCTCTACTGGTGTGTCAGCAGAAGTGAAAGGACTAGTAGAAATCATGACACACTTCTACTGGTGTGTCAGCAGAAGTGAAAGGACTAGTAGAAATCATGACACACTTCTACTGGTGTGTCAGCAGAAATGAAAGGACTAGTAGAAATCATGACACACCTCTACTGGTGTGTCAGCAGAAGTGAAAGGACTAGTAGAAATCATGAGACACCTCTACTGGTGTGTCAGCAGAAGTGAAAGGACTAGTAGAAATCATGACACACCTCTACTGGTGTGTCAGCAGAAGTGAAAGGACTAGTAGAAATCATGACACACCTCTACTGGTGTGTCAGCAGAAGTGAAAGGACTAGTAGAAATCATGACACACCTCTACTGGTGTGTCAGCAGAAGTGAAAGGACTAGTAGAAATCATGACACACCTCTACTGGTGTGTCAGCAGAAGCGAAAGGACTAGTAGAAATCATGACACACCTCTACTGGTGTGTCAGCAGAAGTGAAAGGACTAGTAGAAATCATGAGACACCTCTACTGGTGTGTCAGCAGAAGTGAAAGGACTAGTAGAAATCATGACACACCTCTACTGGTGTGTCAGCAGAAGTGAAAGGACTAGTAGAAATCATGACACACCTCTACTGGTGTGTCAGCAGAAGTGAAAGGACTAGTAGAAATCATGAGACACCTCTACTGGTGTGTCGGCAGAAGTGAAAGGCAGCTTTTCTGAGCATTGGGTGGTTTGCTTTAAACAGCTGTCATTTACCTCAGCTCAACTTTATTCACCTTCAACCTGAATTTGTAAATTTTCCTGGTCATAATTTTACTTGCATGGATCTTTACCTAACTTTCTTTGTCATAATTTAGTTCTTATGAAGCTGAACTTTATTTAGTATCCTTGTACATGTTTACATGCGCTGATCGATAGTTGTCCAAATACTTTTAATTTGAGCATCCTGTTTTGTATCAAACAGGAAGGATTTACTGAATCACGTCTTGTGACCCAGTATGAGATGATAGGATTTCATGATGAGAGTCCAGATCCAGGTCTTTTACTGGATGTTAGACGGAGAGTTATTGCCACATCAGCCACGCAACCAGGACCAATACTAGTACATTGTCGGTGAGTTTGTTAAAAACTAGTTTATTATAATTTAACTCTTTTATTACAGAAGCTTACATTCAGTTATATAAATTTGAACTCACTGGTCAAACAGGTTTCCATTGAATAATTCCATATAAAACAGGAATGCCTATTTACCCTAATAATTTGTCTTTACATTTTTATCTCTTTAAAAAGATTTGGGTAATTCATTTTGGGTATGCAAGAAGTTTTATGCATCTTCTGAAAATCTACAACTCTGAAGCTTCAAATAATTTGTTGACTTGTTTACAAAGTGTCCAGAATTCACACTGATATGGTAAAATTGATTCAGTGAAACATACAAGAATTCTACTTCTAACCTCCAGAAACAGAGATTAACATATGATTCTCATTTGATAAAATGCAATTGTTGCTTTTGTAAGCTTTATGTGAACAGTTAAAACCATAATTACATCTGCTTTACTGTGAAACATATTCACAGCTTTGGCATCCTAAGGACAGCCTGCACAGGTAGATTTACATCTTGCTGATTTGTTTGCAGATGTGGAGGTGGTCGAACAGCAGTATTTATTGCTGTAGACTTCTGCTTACATCAGCTTCAGTCAGAGGACAAGGTGGATGTCTACAGTATTGTTCTGCACTTGCGCAGATTCCGTAAAAACATGGTGCGCACACTGGTAAGTAATCAACACAAACAACAATAGCAACCAACTTTGCTGTAGTGAGTTTCAGAAATTTGATCAGTGTTTTATAAAAAACAAAACTAGACCAGGGATAAAAATGTAAAAAGCGTCGTATTACTAATTTTGCAAGTTGTTTGTCAAACAGTGTAGAACGAACAGAGTAGGTGCAAATTTCGCTATTAGAAAACATCAGCATAAAGGAAAAAAATGGGTTTGTGCTGGTTTAATTCTTTCAAGCAGCTGGATCCTCAAATGTGACTATCAGCATCATCATTCTCTTGTGCTGCTATACATCACTCAAAATCCGCCCCCATGTGGATTTGAATCTAAAAATTCAGACCTGCAGGCAAACATCTAGCTACTATGCTGTTTTTCTGGACTTACTAAAACTAATGAAAAAATTTTAAGTGACAGGCTTTAGTCACATGTTCTGAAAATCTCCCCAAAGTATTTCAGGATTCTCGCAGGTGCAACACAGTCGTGGACTGTGCTGAGATTCTTTGGACTCAGGCTTGAGTTAGAAGAAGAACGGAGCACTTATGGGTTGCACAAACGTGCCATGATGTTGATCCGTTGAATAAACATAAACACATCACACAGACTTTTAATCTGGTCTTCCACTCTTTACTACACTGTTTTAGAGTTTATAAACTGATCTGTATTTTCTTTGTGTGATCTGTGGTGGAGATTGGAACACTTATAGAGGTATCATAATAGGAAGTTTCCAAGACATTCAACTGCTAATGTATCCTTTACAGGACATAACAGAACAAACACTCACAATGTGTGCCTTTTTGTTGTTTCATTAGGCATTTTTGTTATTCACTAGGGCAAAAAATACCATAAGTATACTCTCTACTAAAGCAAAGATGTCTGCGCTGGCTGGGACATGTCTCCCGAATGGAGGATGGTCTTATTCCAAAAGACCTTCTGTATGGTGAACTGGAAACAGACATATGCAAATGTGACCTGATAGATACCAACATAGGTACAGAGACTTAGGAACAAAAGTTAGCTGCAGATCGACTACTGAGGTGACAGAAAGTGAAAGATGGATTGTCACATTTTGAAAGAATATAAATGCATCATGCTTTAGAGAGGAGACACCAGAGAGATAATCAGCCTCATAACGATTGCGTATCTACATTTTTGTGCATCCTATGTGGCAGAGACTGCCACTAGTGCATCAGACTTTACAGTCGCAACAGATGCTGTTTCCAAAGCCAGCGGCACATCTCCATAGTTCCCCTGGGACTGACTGATGACATTATTGTTACTTTACCCTTGCTTCTGGACGGTCAGCTGTCAATACCACTGTCAAAACAAATGCAAGGCGGATTTGCTACCAAATCGCACAGCTGGAATTGAACCTAGCAGTCCATAATTATGAAGCATGTTTGCAGCTCCTAAGTCACAGACGCTGACTCCAAGACATTATTCAATTTATTATCAAAGTTAGGTAGTAGTATTACCTGATCTAATCAGTTTATACACTGATATAATGAGATCCATAAAGCTATGAAAGGGATATCAATTGCTATACTAGGCTGATGATATGGTTCTGATAACTAAAAGTTACCAGTCTAATATCTTGTCTTCTGCCTGTCACATCCCAGTGGAGCATAGACTTTCATTCATCTTATGCTAAAGTCCTTGAGAAACCTGACAGTACTTTTCATTTCTGCAGCTTTTAGATTAGTAAATGCATTAAAAAATTTAATGATCCTTGAATTCTAGGATTCAGTTACTGCATTAAATGTTTTATTTTTAAAAAAAAGTTTGCATTGTTTTTGGACAGTAAAATGAGAATCACACCATGGAAGAGATTTCGGCCTCATCATGTAACATTGTAAAAGACAGCAGTGGGTGAACTGTAACCAAACCTAATTGTGGAGATGGTGCTGACAAAATAATTATTTGCGTTTGCAGTTGAAGATTTTTTAAGGTAATAAGATAATCCGTCTCACTCCTACAGTCCTTAGTTGCCCTCTGCAACATGCATGGTAGGTCACAGAGTTACTATTCTGGTCTTCCCTTTGGCCTACAGTAAGACTTGACAGTCACACTATTGTTGTTGTTCACAATTTATGCTGTAAGAGAGACCACATGTGCTGAAGATCTCAGATGTGAGGATACTGATTTGTTTCCTGTCTTGGATACAAAGTCATGGAATATTAGTCAGAGCAGAACAACATGAAAACCACTCAAGAGCCAACAGCCACTACATCAGTCAATACATACAAGAGTGGCCAGTGTAAAAAGGCTAAAGAAGATGCTCAGTAGAAGATTGGAGGACTTATGGGTATGATCAATATGCAGTGAAAATGATCCTGTAATGAACAGCAACAGAGAACAAGTAGGTAGGTAGGTAAGTTGTACACCACCAGGACATCACACAAGCAGTAAACACACTGTGACACAAAGTGCCACCTTGTGGATGAGGATAACCAGTAGAGGAGTTCCGGAAACCCCATTCAGCCATATTTTAGGCCCAGCTATATTTAGGGGTCCCGCAAAAGCTTCAAAATAACTAAAAATTTCATTCCACAAGGAGATGACGAGATTATGTAAAAACGGTGAACAAGAACAATTATTTTGTTTACCCAAAGTAAACTTATCCATGTTTAAGTGATGATGTTTGCAACAGATATTCTTTTTATTTGCCCAGAGCCAGTACAAGCAAATCTATAAAACAGTGGCCATGTTTCTTCAGTGTGGTCTGACAGTCTATCCAGCAGACACACTCCCTGCAGCCTTCCAAGTCCATTATGCTCAAGGAAGTGATTCAAAGCACCAGAAGTTAGAGAAAGAGTTTCAAGTAAGGTTCTTCTTTCCTGTTCCTTATGCTAATATCTCTAGTAACTGCAGTAGCTAGTTTTCAGTTCAGGTACAATATAATTTCTTCTTCTTCAGCATTCCGAGCCCTTGAGGTTCATTGATGCAGATCTCACCCGCCTCCATTCATCTCTCTGGTTGGCCTTCTCTTTCCAGTTGGTAACACCAAGTGTTTGCAGGTCTGTCTGTATATTATCTCTCCATCGTCTTCTTGGTCTCCCTTGTGGTTACAATATATTTTAATTTAGTACATTTAAAACATTGTTTACTATAAACAATTTTTTTTTAAAAGTTGACACCTGTTCTGACTGTCAGTGTTTAATGTTTAATTAAGAATCAACATCACAGCCCTCAGGGCATTCCCATAAGCACTCCGCTCTCATCTTCAGCAGCAAGTTCAGAGTCCAAATTCCAATGGTACCAATAGCAGTCTCACCTTTTCCATGAGTGCTGATCGTTGACCAGATCCCCTGGTCACTGCTCGCAGTACCATTCTCTTCAGAACATGATGATCCATATGTGCTTCCTCACTGTTCACCTGCCGCAGAACCATTCTCTTCATCACATGATGATCCATATGTGCTTCCTCACTGTTCACCTGCCGCAGTACCATTCTCTTCAGAACATGATGATCCATCTGAGCTTCCTCACTGTTCACTCACCCCCCCCCCCCCCCCCCCAGTACCATTCTCTTCAGAACATGATGATCCATCTGAGCTTCCTCACTGTTCACTCACCCCCCCCCCCCCCCCCCCCCAGTACCATTCTCTTCAGAACATGATGATCCATCTGTGCTTCCTCACTGTTCACCTGCCACAAACGGCCCTTACAACATCTATAGCTTGTCATGCATCTTCTGAATGTCAGAAACAAAATAATATTGAACACAATTACTGTTATTGTAAGAATTATGCACTCCAAAGGCTCCTAACAGAGAGCCTACACTGAATCCATGTTATCATAATAACTCACTGTCTAGAAGAGAGAGAGAGAGAAAGAGAGAGATAGAGAGAGAGAGAGAGAGAGAGAGAGAGAGAGAGAGAGAGAGAGAGAGAGAGAGCGCAAACTAAAAAATAAACTTGAACAAAGAAGATACAAATAATAGATTGCACGATTTATTGCCTGGCATATTTCGCTGTATCTCGTCAGGTGCATACTACAGTACCAATTACATAAATGAAGCAAATAAGAGAATCCTTTATAACTGAAGTACAATTTCAACAACGATCAAACATGACTGCCTGTTTTTACCAGGGCAGCCGTAAAGACTGAACCATCTCTTTCTGTATACAGAGTTCCAGGCGCAGGTGACGAATCGCTGAAGCTTCAAGAAATCTTAGCGTTCTGCCATTGGTTAATGTATGAAGGATTGGAAATACGTTGTCCTTAGCTACCACATGACCAAATTTTACAAAAAAAAATCAACACCTAGGGTATAATTATTCAGTCACATATGATGTACAGAGGAGTTTTTGAATGCAGATGTTGCATACGTTCATGCACTGATTGTTTGTCTACAGACATTGCAGTCCATTGTGCCAAGATTGAGTATTGGGGATTGTGCAAGTGGTCACAGAGTTGAGAATCGTAGCAAAAGTAGGGACATAATGATGCTTCCACGTAAGTCACATAATATCTTTGATTTTCTCATTGTTAATACATTCATGTTCACAGTTCTAAGTACACATGAATGTATGTAAGTTGAGTTGAGCTGAGTTGAGTCAAGAATTGTCATCACAGCACTCGGGGCATTCCCATACATGCTTCGTCCTCATCTTCAGCAGCCAGCGCAGAGTTTCAATACTGATGAATGCATGTAATAAATTACAAAGGGAAAATAATAAATAAGGTTGTTTAAAAACAAAAAATAAATAATGATAAAAACAACTTGAAAACCATTTTCTTTTACACATATACTATCCCTTTTTTTTAATCATAATTTCCACCAACATTGATGCACTTGTCCCATCATTTTATCAGTTCTCCAAAACCTGTTGCATAGAACTGCATGCTCTGTTTTCTAAACCATATTTTCACTTCAAATTCAACTTCTGCGTCATTTACAAAATGTCTCCCACCAAGGTGGGTTTTTAGTAGAACAAAAAAGTGGAAATAGCTAGGGGCTAAGTCAGGGCTGTAAGGTGGATGTTCCAGAAGTTCACACCCTAGATGGTTAATTTTCTCCTGAGTTAACTGAGCCATATTTGGTCTGGCATTGTCATGAATTAGCAGTACTCCTCTAGTCAGCAGGCCTGGACGTTTTTTTCCATCAAGAAGCATCGATAGAACTTTACAGTATGAAACAACATTCACATTGTCACCTATTTGTTTGAATTGGTTAAAAGCACTGCTTGTCAATTTCAGAACACTGTCAGCATAAACTTTCCTTCTGATGGCGTAACCTGGAATTTTTTTAACACAAGGCGAAGAAGGATGTTTCCATTGCATCGAAGCATGCTTTCGCAGTGATAAAATGATAAGCGTGTCTTCTCCTTCATCTGCGTATCGACAGAGATTCTGCAAGGACAGGCCTAATCAGTTCATTTTGTGTCCATCATTTGTTCGGCACCTTGAGAACAGTTTCTTAAACTTCAATCGATCATGCATTATATTTTATGCTGAACTAGGTGACCACCCTATTGCAGCTGCTACAGAGTCAACTATTACTCACCTGTCCCTTCTGATTATCTCCCCTATCCGTGGCACAGATGCGTCTGTTGCAATCCCAACAGGTTGACCAGATCGGACATAACAACAATTATAGAGCAGAGGATGCACAGATGCATTATTCACTCTGAGGAAGGTGTGTGAGAAAGCCAATTAGTATAATACCAAACAGAATATTGTGTTTGTAGATCAGAAAAAGGCTTTTGATAGAGTGGAAAGAAACAAACTGTGGTCTATTCTTGAGAACTACGGGGTACAAGGACAGTTACTAGAGAACATCATAGCCATGTACCACACAAGCCAAAGTGCCCCTGCCCCTCCTTCTGCCATTTTGCACTTGGAGTGGTTATTTTCCTGTGCTTTCACTGATTTTCTTTCTCTCTTTGTTGAATGTTCATGAATTACTTGGTAATGGGAACATTCTAATCTACAAGCTTACCTTTTAAAGTGAAGAAATTACTTTCTCTAATTCTTTTATGTTCAGTTTAATCAGTCAGGTAATCTTTTTTGCTGGTTAGTTGACAAGCCTGTTTTTCATTACATACATTTTTTTTTATTATTTAAAAAAACAAATACGTTCCAATAGACCCAGTTATTTTCTAATTTTGTGTATTGCAGTTAGGTATATCAATGCTATACTTGCTCTCTTTTTTTTTTATTTTTTATAATGCGGAATATTTTAATTTTACCTGGTAAGCCTTGCCTGTTTTAAACAATTTTGTAAACACAAATTTTTAATATTTACCTTACTCTCTGTCTCTTTTCCTTTTGCATTACAAATTAGTTCACCTTGCATTTTAAAAATAATGTCTTCTTTCTCATGTATTTATTTTGTATTTAATATGTAGTTCATTGCCACACATGTGTGTTAATGATAATGTATAACAATGTTAAAGTTTCTACAAAGGACAATAAATAACAGTATTAAATCAGTAATGTGTTGAAACCTTTACAAAAGACATAACTTCAGTAAGAAAGTAGCATAAAGTAGTTAATATTATTGAATTATTGAAATGATAATTATATAGTATCTTTCCTAAGCATAATCCAAGCAACATTTTTTGTTGTTGTTACAATTAGCCAGTTTATAAAATTTTAAACAATAAAAAAAAAAGTCAGTTGTTTCCACTTAAATTGTTCCTAATCATAATCCAAGCAAAATTGGAGTTATTTTTTTTTACTCATCTTTTCCTTTGTTTTATTATTCATTTTAGCGGAATGTGCTAGGCCATATCTAGCAACAGCTGATTGCGGGGACAGTGGAACAGACTTCATCAATGCAGTCTATGTGGATGTAAGGATCATGATATCTAGATATTTCTCAGTGTTAATATTCCTAAACCTTATACTTATAAGTATACAGTGCATTTGCAGGTTTGATAATAAGGCTGGAAGAATTGTTAATTGCTGGAAGCAGTTGTTATTTGTCTTCCCTATTTTTCCTTAAGACATTCTGTTCTGGTTACAACTAGGCTGGGATATCTGCGCCCCAGCCGGACACATTTGATTTCACCAAATGCTTAATTAGTTGCCTTTTATGACATGCTTTGTAGGGAACTGTGGGCCTATTCTGTCTGAGTCTAAACTGGGCCCTGGAAACAGAGGTCTAGCAATGGAAATAAGATATTGTCATAAAACATGAGGGGATACAATACCCAATATGATAGAGAAATATGCCTTTTATTAGAGTCCAAAGAAAACTTGGTCTAAAAATGAATAAATTTGAGATGTGTAGGTGTTGTACCATATGCCCCACTCATTGTGTGTGTGTGTGTGTGTGTGTGTGTGTGACGGGGGAGGGGGGAGAGAAGTATCTACCATTTAAATTGAACACCAGTGTCCTATTCACTTGTGGATCGGAAGGTTGTGGGTTCGCTCCCTGGGAGCCAGACTTTAAAAATTTTTCAAAAATGACCTTGGCGCCCAGGTCGACCCAGCCTTGAGTGGGTACTGGGTGCAGTTCTGGAAACTCAAGGCTGCTGGTGTGATACTGACCATATCACCCATCTTCTGTTGTTGGTCTCTAAAATATAGGTCTAGCCGTATATACCCAGTATGTCTGAAAGGTGAGAAAAAGGGTCCTTTACTTCTTTTTACTTTACCAGTGTCCTATGACAAAACTCACTCTGAAAATGAAGAGGAGGTAATGTCATTAGACACTTGTGAGTGCTGTGCTCTTTGTCTCGCTGTGCAGGGGAAAAATATCTTATTTTAAATGAACACCTGTGCCCTGTAGTAAAACTGCACTATATGGGATTTACCTGCATTATATAAAATATAGTGTTTATTAGCTGAGGAATGTGACTACTAAAACAGATGCAGTATAAAGCTCCTAGTAAGTACAGTGTTCAGTGTAATCAGAGTGATGTTATATATCCTACCCTATGTTTCATGTTTATATACGTGACTAGACATGCCCAATGTGCAGCATGCCTTTATCAGTGTTTGCCAGTGGCCAACTTCAACATCTTGTCACTACAGCTATGATTTGTTTACTAGATCAACATTTGGTTAGATCAGATATGAACTGTCCATGATGGTCTTTAAATTTCCATGCACTGTCACAAAGAGCACAGAAAGATATAAAGAAAGAAACAACCTGTTTGAGCTGCCTGTGGTGTCAAGAGCAAGTGCTGGACAGGGGAATACAGATCTACTCTGGGGACAGCCCGTTCACAGTTCTGATGAACTTGTCCCTGCCATCTCAGTCTTGGCATTGATCCTCATCTGGTCCAGAGAGATCTGATTGCTCTTTGACAGACATACAGACAGTCACCAATAGTTGATGCAGAAGCGAAAGCATTAGTGGAGGAACACACATCACTGAAAGATGCTGTTATGTAAACAGATGTTTATGTGATTTGTCAGAAGCCAAGTGCATAAATAGTCAACTACCAGAGCCACTTTTGATTATGTCTGGTATTGATCAGTACCAGTTGACTTGAAATTGTATGTAAATTTATGCAAAGTGTTTCAGGATCTTTATACTGTAGAGATAATATCAAGAAAAAAGGAATCTTTCTAATAAATAAAGGATCAGTCTCTCTCAGAAAAGTGTCTGCATAACTTGCTATGCCGTGCATTAGTTCATATGTATCTCTTCTTTAAAAAGACATTATAAACCATAATAGAAGAAAATTCATTATTATATGAAATTATCATATGAAATAGTGCAGGACAATGATGTTGATCCCCTTTGAGTTTGACTTTGACTCTTCAAAATCTTCTTTTTTACAAATAATACTGTATCAATTTAAGATAATATTGAAATGTCACTTTCCCAAATGTAAATCGTTGTATATTTCATTTGTTCCTTGGTTTCATTACACATATTTATCATCACAGGGTTACCATGCAGAAAATACATACCTGGTGACACAGTGGCCTATGAGGAAGACAATTGTTGACCTGTGGCGATTGATGTATGACTTCAAAATTACCTCACTTGCCTTCTTAAATGATCCCCAGAAGTCTTCACGGGTAATTAAATCAAACATAATATTTGTCAGAGGCCAAATGACTAGACATAATATATACAGCAATTTACCTATTGTGCCCAATATGACAAGAAATAGTATGTACAAGAGTCCAGTATGATTAGACGTATGTGTCGAAGTATTCATTATGGTTAGACATAATATATATGAGGTTATAGTGTTCAGTAGTTTTTATTTATGGTATCATACATTTTATTGATATTATTGAAAATAACAACACAAGAAGAGACAGGGTTACAAATACCAGCATTAGAGAGAAAGTTGAAATAAGACCATGTCTAGATTATATGGACAAACAAAGAATGAAATGGTTCAGCTATCTGGTGAGAATGCAGCCAGACCAGAATGCATATGAGATTTTTTCCAGTAGAACATCTGGGAGGAAGGCAAGAGCAAGACCAAGACAGAAATGAATAAATGGTGTAGTGAAACCTGCAAAAAGTAAACAAATCTATCGCTCAAGCCACAAGAAACACTAGACAAATACAGAAAACCATGACACTGAGCTACAACCTGGTATCAGTGAGAGCACAACAACAACAACAACAACAAAAACTGTGGCAAAATCAGATTTTTGACTAAAGAAAGAAAAAAGGACAGGTCTTGCAAATGATCTATTTATTGTAGATAGGACATGGTCACCCCACCATACATATGATGGCCTAGAATATTTGAAAGCTTAATGCTTTCACCCTCTTTGCAGTAACTGATATACAGTGACCTTTACAGGAGTATACAATAAATAAATGTCACTCATTCTTTAGAGAACATGGGCATTCACTGCCGTCTTTGGAACTACCACTATTTGGTAAAAACCTTGGTGTTTTCCATGACATGAATGCTTTACCTCTAACTGAAAGCCATGAGAATTCTCTGAACCAGGGTTCTTCAAATGGGGGTTGGCAGAGCATTGCTGATCTATGGACATTTCTGGATGATTGCCAAGTTTACAGTGTGGTGCTGGAAATTTAAATTCAGTTTTGTTACAGCATTTATTTTCTCAGACACTATGCTCCACAATACTGCCGTCTTTGGAACTACTGCATATCAAATTTCCTAACCTCTTGTAGCACCAGATGTCTTATTAGCAAAAATTATAATTCTACATATGGATCAAATACAAACAAGGAAATCTATTAGTGCAGATTTGTGGTTTAGAAGTAAGTGAAATAATTTCACAGTCCAGTCCCTGTTATGCCAGGGTTTGAATTTTGTTGCCTACTATTTAAAAAAGGATTGTTCTTGTGGTTTACTTACATGGCATAAAAGTCACAACCTGGAAGCAGTTGTGATCTTGCCATGTAATATTCTCAGTAACAGCAACAAGTAAATTGCAGATAACCTCCATTCTGGAGGTAGCACATTTAAAAAAATCTACATTTGGTTGTGCGTTTGCCTTAGCCATCGTAAAATCTTCATTCTAAATGCTGAATTGGTAAAGCTGTTTTCCTCACTCTATGAAGCTCATGGGCTCTTTTTCACAGAAATGTTGTTAAATTTACAAGTGCAATTTTTAAGAAGATCCCTGTGAATTGTTGATGGAGCTACAGAGTTCATGCTTTGTGCAACACTCTCAGGAGGTGGCTAATCATTTTGCAAGAGAGACCAAGCCATATGGGATAAAACCCCAACAAATGAAGTTGATCCTCTCACTTTAGCCTTTAACATTTTAGGTCCACAAAATTGTCTACTGTTTTGATGGCCATTTTGTGTTCAAGAAAAAAAAAAAGTTTCAACACTGGCAAACCCTTAGTCAAGGATTTCAAAACTTTAAATGATACAGTTGCATTAAATGTTCAAATACTTTTCTGGCAGACTTATCCTCGCTTTTGGCCAAAAGAAGTGGAGCAAGAGCCTGTCAGTTATGGACCAATCAGTGTGAGGTATCTGAAGTGTGAGAAACATGCCAACATAATGACCAGAACCTTCGCCATTAGAAAGGTAATTTAATTTATGTTTCACTATGTACACATTGACATCACCCACCAAGTGCCAGATCATCATTATCATTCTGATTTTCCCATTTTTACATTGCATAGAGCTCACAGTCAATTCCTATATTTTGTTGACATTGTGTGGGTCTTCCCCATGTGAGTTCCGGGGCCTCATTGTGGGGAAAACAAAAATAGACCCACAACCTCACCAAAAAGCGTATCATAAATAAGCCAGTAAAATGCATGTACTTGCAAAACTCAGGCCCTGGCACAAAACCAAAGTCCAAATAGATGAACAACCAGGACTTGTGTCAGAACTTACTGCCAGTGATTGAAGAAGAAGAAGAAGTGTGTGTCTGGTGTCTCAAGCCAATATGGTTTTTTTTGGATTCCTTGCTTTGTCAGTCAGCTTATTTTCCTAGTAGTGTCTGTTTTGTCATTCTTTGTTCAGTTTACGCCACATAGTGCCTACTATATCTTTTTTTCTCTTAAAATTATTGATGCTAGTGGTTGTACTAACCTTTCTCTGATTCATCTTACTTGAATTTAGTGTACAGCAATTACCTCATGCATAAAAAAACAAAATTCCATGTAACTTTCATTCCACGACTTTAACCCTACCAGACCTGAGGCCCTAAACCTAACTGTTCCTATAACCTGAGCTCCTGGGCACTAACACGAAAAAACCAACATGATGTACACAAAATTTAGTTACATGCAAACAAGTGGTTAGAATAAGATAAAACTTGGAGACATTCTAGAAAATAGGTTTACCTTTCATCTAGCGCCAATCTTCAACCTTTGTGTGCCAATCCACCTAGTAGGATCAGTCTTGTTTCACAAAGTAAGCACCAGATGTTGCTGTTTGAGGGACACGCCCTCTTCTCTTACTATTGATCTAGTTTTAAATCTATAATTTTCATAATTCTCCTCCTCACTCTAGCTCTCACTGACTGTGTCACTTCAACTGGGAACGTATTCTTTATGAACGTATTCACAGTCTGAATTAACCAAAGTATCGATCACCTGTTGGACTGTGAAAAGCCTAGACTTAATCACTTTCTTGTCGAAGCCGCTCGTTTCATTGAGAATTTTCCAAATTTGTTTCACATCACACCACATAAAGAAATCTCAACACACGTGGGAAGTCATTTGCAATGACTAACAACGAAGTCTGATTGCGATTGGCTGTTATTTTTAGTCTGTGACGCATATTTTTCATGTACTATGTAAATTCCCGTAAATGTGGGCCAGCGGTATAGCGGCAGGTTAGGAAATTCCAAGAAAATCGGGCCAGCGGTCTGGTAGGGTTAAAGAAAATTGGCCTAAAATGTTGGGCTTCAACCTCAAGGAAAAAGATCCCTTACTTTATTTACACATGTGTATTTTTGGGTGTGGCTATAGTCCTACATTTTGTACATCATTTATAGGAAAAATAAATATAATACTTACTGTGTACTGAGATCCCCTCTGCTCAAACTAAGCAGGATCTGATGTTGTTACCAAATATTTGTGGTATTATGGTGCAACACTGTTTGTGTATTTTAGTTTGTATGTTTTTAGATCCTGCACTTTTTGTTTGTTTTCGAAGCAGAGAGATTAATATCCATGATTTTTAATCAGCAAAGACTTATAAACAAAATGCTGGAGATTTTGCAGCCAGTGTAATTGTGACCATACTGAACTCGAGTGAAGAGTGGTCACCATAACATGGGCCTAGCTCTTTCTTTACTGCATTAATAATAATACTGCAAATGTGGGCTAAAACAAAACATCTTATTTAAACTGTTTGGTAAATAAATTCTCACAGTCTCCACAATGAAGGTTGGCTTCAGTGCATCCCCTGTTGCCTTCAAGAATATTAAGTATTGAGGTCCCAATCTCTTTCATGGTACAACTCTCATACCACTGTCTAAGCACCAAGTGCAGATATTGAATCATATTCATCAAAGATTATCACATTATTAAATGCATTCACCAACCTCTGGGCCACAATACTGCAACCGCCCCCTCCCCCTCACACAAAAAAAACCTGTCTTTTACTTGTTTATTGGAATGGTGTAAGGCAGTGGTTGGCAAACTCCTTAGATGAGTGAGCCAAAAGTCAGCAGCAGGTCCATTAAAATATTGTTGAGAGCCACATTTTTTTCAAGAACCTGTCGAGAACCATGTTTTTCAGAGGCAAAACAGATTTGTGGCCGACTGACCAAGCTACACTCAGGTTGCTAAAGAGCCGCATGCAAGTCACTTTGCAGACCACTGGTTAGGGCATCAGAGGTTATCTTTAGAGGTTATGTTTTGCCCCTGACCACTCTTCCCCCCCCCCCCCCCCCCCATTAAAAAGAATTGTCCACCAAGAATGTGATTATTCTTTCTATTGTCATCTCACTAATACCAGGTTGTAGCCCAATGTCATGGTTTTCTGTATTTGGCTTGCACTTCTTAGGTGGCTTGGGGGCGGATTTGTTTTTGCAGATTTTAGCTATAACATTTAACCATCTCTTTCTTGATCTTCCCTTCACCTTCCTCCCAGATATTCTGTTGTAAAATTTTCTCACATGCAGTTTGGTCTGGCTGCATTCTCGCTAGATTGCCCAATGATTCCTGGCATAATCATGACCCCTCTTGTGTTGTTAGTGACAGTGCATTTCACATATATTTATTTTCTGTTCTAGTGCCATGTTCATTGTCTATGTTTGTCACTGATACCATAAAGTAGGGATGAAAATCCTGTTTATAATTTGCTTTTCTCTTGGAAGGGAGACAGACATTTGGGTGTCTTAGCAGTGGGGTTATCTGGTCAGTGACAGCAGTTGCTTTAAGGAAATTGATTCAGATAACTCAATTGACAGCCTGGGGTTCAAACAACTATTTAAGACACTCTGCTGAAGTAACCCTGAATGTATTTAAAGAAAGCATCAGTCAGCTTGTTGCAATCTCCATAGTTTGTCACTAAAAAGTGCTGCTGTATTCTTTTTATTTATGCTGTTGTCATTACTGTTTTTTTAAACTAACGTGAACTGCATCTGACATCGAAAAAAACATTTTTGAGTAGTCTTCCTTCCCTTGTATTTAACTGCTTACACTATCTACAAGGTAGCAAGTTGTTTTTATTATTCTGAGATCTTGTTGTAACCAATAAACAATGCATGACACCAAACCAATAGTCCAGTGAGTATGACTGGCTTCACTGACACACAAGAGCTCCCCAGGCAATAATAGTGACGCAGTTAAATTCCCTACAGGAGACAGACTGGTGGTACGGAGCAGGAGTCTATCACACAACTGCCAACACCTAAAGCTTGTAAAACCATCAAACAGTTTATTTTATCACCACACACAGCATGACAAAGTATGATGTTGATGGATAAATATATACTTGTCAGGCCATCCTAGACTGCTAGACTGCTTGTGGTGTGCTACAGTGCATATTTCTACTGTTTATCATACACTTGAAAAGAACACACAGTAATGTCATCATCACCATCATCAATTTCCACTTCTGTCTTTAAGCGTCATAGGAAGGAACAGTTTGTGATCCATTGCTTGATGGGCATCAGTGACTACTAACATTCTGTTTAAATTAGAAGCTCTTTAATTTCATCATTCCATATTCTCCTAAGGTGATCTCTTGGTTTTACTTCATGTCTTTTCATGTATAGTAACTGCATTCTTAGTTGTTTGGCTGCATTCCTATTAGATGATCAAACCATTTGATGTTCTTTATCTATGTGAATTTGCTGCATGGTGTTGTTCCTATAATCTGTTCTACTAATATAGTTTTTACTTTGTCTCGGATGGTTAAGTTGCAGCTTTTCTCAGCTGTCACGTTTTGCAGACCTACAAACACTTGGAATCGCCAAATGGAAGGAGAAGGTTAACCATAAAGAGGAACAGAAGCAGCTGATATCTGCAGCAGTGAACCACACATAAGAATGCTGATTAAGAGGCCTGGCTAAACATCTCAAGACAAAATGGACTTCCATAGCAACTAATGCCCTCTGTAGACATTTCCACTGCTGAAAGCATCTACTCCCCAGTAAAATGAAATAAAACTGTCGACATGATTGTTTTTAAAATAGACTTTTTGGTATTTTTAGCTTTTTTTTTTTAATTCTTAGATTTACTTTATGTAACCACTGTAAACAAAAGTCACAATCTTCTAACATTTGTTGGGTGATTAAAAACAGGGATAAGACTAAAGCTTATGAAATAAAATAGTCTATGAAATAGGCAAGAAACTAGCAGGACACAGATTGTTTCAAGGTAAAATAAGATAATTAATTTATAGGAAGCCATGATAGCACAGTTACTAGAATTCTTGCTTTGACCCCGTACTGTGGTCTCAGGTTTAAATATTCATTGATAATAGATTTAAAAAAAAAAAAATCTGATGGCGAGTTCTTACATTAGTTGTAATGGAGGAACTTTTTTTGTGTGTGACTTATTTAAAAAAACTGTCATTAGCTTAGCAAATGAACTGTTGGTGATTATTTTACATGAGCTGTAACAGAGGAACATTTAGTGATTGCCTTACATTAGCAGTAACAGAGACATCCTCGATATTATCCGTTATTTTTTTTTTATTTTGGTTAAAAATTTTTTTATAGATATAGACTTCTAGTGACTATTCTAGATTAGTTTTTAATAGAGAAAGCTCTGGTGACTGTCTTATGGTTCACTTGATAGGCTCCTTGTAAATGATAGTTTCATCCATCCACAGCCCAAAAGACATCTGCACCTCAAAGCAGGGTCGTCAGGGTCCATTAGTGAAGAACCAATGGTAAACATAAATGAAATCTCCAATACCACTGCACATTCACAGTTTGATTTTAGCAATTAACTTTATTCAATTTCATATGAAGAACTTATTTCTTATGTTCACAAGAAAAATATTTTGATTTAAATTTTTGTCTTTCTGTTAATGTAACCTGAAATATCCTTAGAAGACTGTTATTTTGATGATTGTAACAGTTAATGTAAAACTGTTGAGTTTCTTTTCAAGTGCACATTTTTTTTTACTTTAAACCCCCTGGTTATTGAAGATGGTTTTGCTGAATGAATTGAGCTTGATTTTTATTGGGTGATTGTTCAGTACTAGAGCACTGTGCAACCAATCATAGATCACCAATTTTTTTTCTTCTGGCATAAAGATGCCTTTTTTGTGTGGTTAATTATGAAAGTTGTGAATCTTAGTGACTGTTCATTTATATTTGCATGATGATTCTATCTAATCTAGTAGGCTAAATAAATAAAATTAAAAATTAAAAATAAAAGTTTTTTTAAAATCAAGAGGGTGATTTCACTGCTGCTGGCTTTATCCCTTACAGCTCTCTCTCCATAATGGCTAGCATCTCACAAAACACTAACTTCATAACTCCAGCAATGAATTCCTGGGATCTCTGTAACAAAATTGCATTCTTGAACTGAATGACAGTCTGGAAAATGAACATACAACCATCAGAGAGGAATTCAGAAGGCTTTTATGCAAACTTAGTCCTAATGGGACTACATACAAAGGTTGTTGGTTTGGCCAATAATGTTCGGCATCTAGGCTATAAATTTTGCAGCTCCATCCATTCAGTGCTTCCCAGTTATGATTCAGATTAAATTTTTCTAGTTAATTATAACATTCCTGTTACTGTTATTTATAATATTGCATTATTTTGACTTTTATCTTGGAAAGTCATGATCACATTTTGAACTATTGGCATTGAACATTTGTTGTTTTTGAAAGATCTTAAGCTGCTTGACACTAACATAAACAATATTTATACACATTTCGGCATGTGTATTTTTGCTTGCATGTTTCTCTTTCACTTGCTGTAAATTTGTAAATTTGCTTTGGGGTATCCTTATTTTAACACTTGTATTAGAACTGCATAATCAAGTTTTCATCAGTTTGCTGAGACAATTGTACATATTGCTATGGCTCCTATTTTATACACAGCTATGTATATTTCATTTAATACTAATGAATAGTTATATTTTGGGGGCCGCGTTAGCGCAGTCGATAAGAGGCTCCCTTTCAAATCCAGCTGCAACTAGGTGCAGCCCATGGTCAGTGTTTGAAACCAGGCGGTTCCCGGGGTTCACCCAGCCTCTAGGAAATGGGTACCAGTTTTCAAACTCTGGGATAAATGTAGGAACGTTGCTGTAGCTACAGAGTTACATGTTAACAGCGACACAAGCGGACAATACTTATCAGCTGTCCGTACTGGCGGCAGAGCACTTATGGTTTATAACCGTGTGCAATGATGCTGGTTCACGTCTCCCGACTTTGCCTTTACCTTTACTAATGAATTTATATGTAAAGCTGGGTGTCAGCTTGAATAATCAGAACACAGAAAGAAAAGAAAAACAATGAATGGTTTGTAAATTTATACTAAAAGTCAAAGACATTATTTTAGGACAGTTGCAGAAAGGAAGCATCTGGGCATGTGGATAACATCTGATGGAAGATGTATCACAGAGATAAAGAGCAGAATAGGACAGGCTAAAACTCCCATTTTATCAAATGAAGAATATTTTATGCAATAAATCCATGTCACTAGAGGTTAGAAAAATAATTTTTGCATGGTATATAGAGCCAGTTTTAACACACTTCTATGAATCCTAGCAATTAATAAACAAGCCAAACAATTTGTTGAGACCTGGTAGAGGTTGTTTTACAGAAGAAGCCTTAGAATTCCTTGGACAGCCAAAAAAAAAAAAAAAGCTACCCAGATGTTTTGAAAGAGGCGAGGGCTCGAATACAACTTATCACAACCATCAGAAAGAGACAGTCATAGTTTTGTTGGTCATGTTATGAGAAAAAGGAAACTGAAACATGTTTTAATGACTGCAAAGAGCTGTGGAGAAAGAGACAATGCAAGAAGTTCCTTGACAGACCTCTGTCATGTCATGGAGGGCTGTCAGCACACCAACTGATACACACTGCTGAAGATGGCAGATTGTGGAAGATGGCAGATTGTGGAGAGGCATGATCACCAGTTGACAAGACATTTAATGATGATAATATGTATAGATGAGTCCTTTTTTACCACTCATCTTCTCTTCCTCCAGTTACCTCTTCTAATTTGCTGTATAAGCTGATCTTCATTTCTTTAAGGCTGCCCTCAATGCTGTTGTTCCATCTTTTGCAGTTTTCCCTTTGCTCCATGTTCATTTCAATTCTTTAGGGTGGCTGTCTGTCTAAGGCAATTGGTGCCAGGGCATTCTCATAAGATGGCCAAACCATATTGTTTCAGTTTTCTTCTTCTTTGCATATATTATAACTAACAACATATGTACTGTGTCTCAAAAAGTCATATTTATATATTGTTAAAATAAACATTCATCATCCACACAGAATAACAATAGCCGAGCCACAAATAAAGCAATGAACTTAAAACTGTTCTATTTCACTACCTAATGGCAAAAATGGAAGATGATGATGACAGACATTTGTTATTTGCAGATCCCACCAAATATTGATATCCTTACAATCTAAAAAAAAAAAAAATACATCAACTCTTGACCCCAAAAAAAATATATATTCACATACCAGTACTGTGTTTGGAACAGACCAGTGACCATGATCCTTCAGTCATCTTTGTTACTGGATATTTTATTTAAATTGGTGCAACACTGTTGTAATTTTCCCAACATTTTTGTTTGTCACAAACATTTTGCCTCTCTTTTAGTTTAGAATTTTTTTTAGAACCCAGTGAACACAAATTTAAGTTAAACTTTGACTATAAACCATGTCAGTTATTATTTCTTTTTTCATAACACAACCCCTCAAAGATATTGTGATGTATCACTGGCAGTTTGAAGATCTTACCTCTCCAGGCACCAGAATCAACTTACACTGTAGGGACAAGGTTTCCCCAGTTTTCTCAGGGAAATGGCCACTGTGATTTAATATTTACCTTTGGTTACTACACTGGGTGACTCACCCTAAGTTCACTAGTTACTTGGCGCATGATAAAACATTTCCCAATGTTTCTATTCTGTTCTCATGTTTTGTTAGCAAGTTTTAGCATAACTGCTGCCAAAACTAAGGAGTCATTGGCCTAATAGTAAAGAGTGCTGGGCTGTTATGTGGGAGACATAGGTTCAAATCCTCAGTAAAGTGCAAGATTTTTTACTATTGGTGGTGTACACACATATAGACACATTCACACACACACACACATATACCAGGCCACCCTCCCCCACACGCGCACACACCCATGCACACACTCACACCACACATACACACATGCATCATACACTGGAGTACAGGCACACATGCACGCACACACACACACACGCATACACTCGCACAAAGGCATGCACACACACATACTCACACACATGTATACACAGATGCACAATCCTAACTTATACTGTCCTTGGCAACTGCACGAGCCATGTGGCCCAAAGCCCTCAGGCTATGGACCCTTATTATCTATACTGCCCTAAAAAATGGTATTTAAAGCTATTTAAGACAGTTCCTTAAACAACTTGTATCTCATGCTCCTGTTACGTTAACTGCATCAGACATATCAAGATTGTTGGGGTAAGGTATAAATATTTTTGATTGACAGTGTTCAGTCTCAGCTGTGTGATTCGGAAAAAGTTCATGTCTTAAAGAGAGACCAAAATTCCTTGACAGTACTGCATTTAACCTTCTGTGAAAAGAAAGACTGGTACTCAAATTCCTTGACAGTACTGCATTTAACCTCCTGTGAAAAGAAAGACTGGTACTAAAATTATTCTTATTTATTTTTATTTCAGGTTATGAACGGACTGATTGGGTGTGACCTTAGCAAGGATGAATTAATTGTGAAAATGTTCCAGATAATGAATTCAGGACAACGCAATGCTGACAACAACCATTCTGACCACAGTTCAAACCATGGTGCACATCATGGTCATAACTACAGTACAAACAGTGCAAAATGTGGAAAAATTGGATATTATAGAGCGGTAGGGATACAGCCCCGGTCATTGCTAGCTTTGATGGATCAGGTCACACACTGGCAGGAGTGTAGTAAGAGTCGGCATCCAATTTGTGTCATGTCAAAGTAAGTGCACAGCCACTGGGTGTCTGTGGTGACTGAATGAGCATTGAATTGTCACAAACATTTTGCCTCTCTTTTAGTTTAGAATTTTTTTTAGAACCCAGTGAACACAAATTTAAGTTAAACTTTGACTATAAACCATGTCAGTTATTATTTCTTTTTTCATAACACAACCCCTCAAAGATATTGTGATGTATCACTGGCAGTTTGAAGATCTTACCTCTCCAGGCACCAGAATCAACTTACACTGTAGGGACAAGGTTTTCCCAGTTTTCTCAGGGAAATGGCCACTGTGATTTAATATTTACCTTTGGTTACTGGCAGGAGTGTAGCTGTGTAGCTGAAACTTGCAAAAAAAGATGAACAAAGCCATCCTGCAAGGCATCCGAGAAGTGCTGTACAAATACAGAAAACCACAAAACCTGGTTACAACTGTCGGTGAGACACCAAAAAAAAAAAAAGGAACAGTATGTTGTAAAGTTTATTGCCTGGCATATTTCACTATCTCTTCAGATTTATAATATAAGGTTTTTTTTTTTCTTTATGAATTTAACTAATGAAGACATAAACAGTTTGATAGAGAGATTGAAGCCAATGTACAGAAGACAAAAATATCACCTAGCAACAAGTCCCACTGCTTAGAAACTCAAATTCTCCCAGCAAAACATCAAATGATTAATAGCATCTTTATCCCTACTTTTTGCTATCGGTGTCAAACATGAACAATGAATAGGGAACTAGGACAGAAAATGACTACCTATTTCTTCTTCTTCTTCTGCGTTTGATATCAGTCATGCTAAACATTGAGTCCCCTCTGGGTCACAAATAGGATTGTGCGTTTAAGGTCGCCACCGGTCCCCCATAGCTTATCTTTCAATGTGGCTCCCTTGGGCCAGATCCACAGTCTTTGCTGGGAGAGGTTAGGGCAGTACTGTAGTATGTGCCCAGGGGTCTGTCTTTCTGCTCCACAATCACAGGCAGCAGATTCTTTTATGCCTATCCTGTACAGGTGTGCTCGAAGACCACAGTGTCCAGTCTGAAGTCTAAAAATTGTTGTTTGTTCTTTCCTGTTGAGTTTGTTTATGCTGTCACTCTCTGGTCTGTAATCTCCATTCTGCCTTCTCCACTCCCGCTTGAAAGACTGCTTTAGCGCTGTTTTGGTTTCCTTGTAGCTGTGTGGTGGATGAGGTTGTGGAAAATTATTCCTTAGCTTTTGCCAACTCATCTGCTCTCTCATTTCCTTGAATACCACGGTGGGCTGGTGGTATTCACTGCAAGACCAGTTCTGCTTCCTTGGAGAGGAAGCCAATGTTGGTCCTTAGATCTGCAATTAGTTTGTCTTGTTTTTTGCTTGATAGTGCTTGGAGAACAGACAGTGAGTCACTAAGTATAACAATTTTGTGCCCTCTGTGTTCTTGATTGATGAGATGTTGGACTGCAGAAAGGAGGGCAGTTGCCTCAGCTCTGAAGTTAGTGCAGATGTCACCTGCTGTTAGAGAGAGAGTTTCTGCTCTACTACCTATGAAATGCGCTGTCTCTTTAAGGACACTAACAGCACAAGAAAGGACAGGATTACAAATACCAACATTAGAGAGAAAGTTAGAACAAAACAATATCTGAATTATATTGACAGACAAATAATGAAATGGTTCAGCTCCTAGTGAAAATACAGCCAGACGAAACCACATATAAGAATTTTTACAGCAGAACATCTGGGAGAAAGCTGAGAGGAAGACTGAGAAATTGATGAGAGCTGTAGCTTGAGGTTTGATGTTTTGAACAACGGATCAACATCATGGCACATGGGTGTAACTCATAAATGTGAACCGTCGAGGATCCTGAAATACTTGGGTAGGTTTTGAACTCCAAATCTTGCCCGGGCAGTGCCGTTAGGCTACTCTTTTTGATTTCCAACCGTGAAGGGATTTTTGTACATGACTGATAGTGATAGTGATTAGAAAGGATTATAATAACTGATCCATTGGTGCTTTAATCTCCTCCTCAAAAGCTCCACAAGTGTAAAACGACTGATAACGCCTGTTCCATATTGGTTGATGAAACATCTTGTCCCCTTAGTGAAAAGTTCATTTCTTGCAGCTCCAGGCTGCATTCCCATGTCCATCAGTCTACACAGGGATATTGAGTCATGTCCTTTGGCGTACACCTTGGTACGGTAAGTGCAGTGCATGGCATTGATAACATCACTTCTGTCCTGTGCTGGGCCAGCCATAGCAACTGCAGTGTCAGCAAGATAGTCTGCACACTCATTCCCTTGTATATGTGCAGGGGGAATTACTAGAAGTCCAAGTCCACGTGAAAAAATCCCAGGCCTTACTGGGGATTGAAACCGGAACTTCTAGCACTTAAGGTGGACACCATGCCTCGAGACCATGCAGCTGCCTTGTGTAGCTGAAACTTGCAAAAAAAGATGAACAAAGCCATCCTGCAAGGCATCCGAGAAGTGCTGTACAAATACAGAAAACCACAAAACCTGGTTACAACTGTCGGTGAGACACCAAAAAAAAAAAAGGAACAGTATGTTGTAAAGTTTATTGCCTGGCATATTTCACTATCTCTTCAGGTGATTTGATAGCATTTACATCAACTCATAATGAATCATAGAACATGAATCCTTTCAACTGAAATGCACAGATCACACCATCTCTTGGCACACTCTACATCTTACCAATGGAAAGATAAGATTAACCACATGATCATCATGAAGTCTGTGATTAATAACAAAATTCTTTTGTTTACATGTAGCAGATTTGCATATCTTAATTGTCTTTGCTTCTTCAGATTTTAAAAACCTCCTATTCAGTATGTGATAAATAAATTGGAAGGCATAATTCCTATCCATCATGTGCCCAGAGTAAGCAGACTGTAGTAATGCACAAGATAGAGCTAACAATGATGTCAAGCAGTACATTTTGCAGATTAAGATTGTGCCCTCATTACTGAAATTTACAATACACTTGAAGAATATCTGGCCACTACCATGTAGATATCATTCCCTGATAATGCATAATGGCAAGCTTATTCTGAATGTTGACACACCTTAAATGGGTATAAGGTCAAGTCCTGGGAAGTAAAGGTGATCAGAATGAGGTTGACAACATCACTCAGGCTTCATAGCCAATTGATCTATACAAATATGAGTCAATCCTCATTTGCCTAATGCACTACTGTTGTGTAATGGGACTTTTTATACTGAATGTTGATCTTTCAATATGGTGCCACTACATGATATTATATCATGATTAGCTTATACTGAAAGTTACAGGTACTACAGTGAGTAAGAAAATGCATGCTGTCTTCGCAGTGGATGTCATCTATAGTGGATATATGTATAGACTGTTGCTTTCTTCTTTTTTCTTCCTTTCTCTACTCCTGGAATGTCTCACAGCTTCAGGGCAGGAAGAGATCTCTAGTTACCCTGTTCTGTTCACTATGTATATAGCTCTTTTCAGTGTCTTTGATATTTATGTGGTTCATCTTTTGTGTGGTTGACGTCTGGCTCTGTTACCGTGGTTCCCAGTCTTGTTATGTGGCCAGACCACTTGGTCTGTAGTCTACTGATAAAGTTCAGTATTGGTTACACTCTTGTCTGTGGGAATATTATGTGGGGAGGCCCCAATCTCTCCATGGTGCACCTCACATTACTGTAAAAAAAAGCCATAAGGATAATGTAAGAATAAGCAATAGGCAAATTTTTTTTGGGTGGGTGGGGGGGTGGGGGGGTGGGGGGTGGAATCAAATACAGAAGTTCTGAAAAGACTAGAAATTAACATAGAGTTGCTGAAGGAAAAAAAAAAAGATGCATTTGAAATATTTCAGCACCATTAAAAACAGCACTCTTTTCAAAATTATACTGGTGGGAAAGGTTAAAGGCAAGAAAGCAAGAGTTAGAGGGTGACACAAGCAAGAGGACAACATCAAGAGATGAGGTAGGGTGAGAGGGGGTTGGGGGGGGGGGGAACAAATGAGAAAGTGTAAAACAAAGAGAAGCATTCAAGATCCATTGCAGCCAATCTTCACTATGAAAACAGCATCCAAGTGATTAATATGTAACAATAACAGAGAAGGGTGCTTCGAGAAGGTTTGACTATATGGAACCAAAGTTTTTATAAACTAAACAGAATTCAGTGAATAATGTGTTCAATATCATGCTGACACACGACTTCAGAGATTATTTCCTTGTCCCGTTCTTCAGCTGAGTCAACAGGGAGATGAAGGTCAGCTAAAAAAAAAATACAATTGTAATTACCTAAATATTGGGTTATAGGTTGAGTTTATTCTCTGTTACCTATGTTTGCATGTTTAGCAACATTTCTAGTGCTTAAAAAAAAAAAAAAAGTTAAAAACTGTTGATCACTCATTGTGTTATGTGGTAAGTAGTATATATTTTCTTTTGTTACACTGTTCTTAAATGTGTTGCCGCCATCTTTAAGACACCACTATATTCACTTGCATCATCCTGTTGTGTGCACAACACTCTTGATACCCTTAACAACGATTTGACAGGTTAGAAGACAATGGTATGGTTAAAGAGATTTCTATTAAACTTTTAAGGTTTTATTTGAAGTTTTATTTTAGCAGAGACACACAATCTCATCTATTCAGGAATAAAGACTGCAAAAAAAATTTCAAGTCAATTAAGGAGAAATTTTAATGAACATTGTAGACAGACAAATGCTTAAATACTGAATTCTTCCAATGTTTCCTTTACTGGTATTCTCTCAATGATCAGGGATGGATGCAACAGAGTGGGCTTGTACTGTGCCATTGGCATCTGCTGTGATCAGGTGAAAGAGGAGAGAGAAGTGGATGTCTTCAATGCAGTTCGCCTTGTCCGCAAAAACCGGCCACAGCTAGTGCCTAATATAGTAAGACGGTGTAAATGCAGTCTATATTTCTCTGTGCTGGTCTTGTCTATCTCTGTTCTCTTAGTGGTGATTCTTTGGGACACATCTAAGTCATTTAAAAAAAGGCAGCATTGAGAGTCCCAGAAATTAGAAAATTAGGTTTTTCTCATGTAATTTCTTCTTCTAAGAAGTAAAAACTGTATTCACAAGGGAGATGAATCGTCCTAGACCATGGGGCAGACCAAGAAGACGATGGAGAGATAATGTCCAGACAGACCTGCAAACACTTGGTATCACCAACTGGAAAGAGAAGGCCAACCACAGAGATAAATGGAGGCCAGTGGTACTTGCAGCAATGAACCTCAAGAGCTTGGAATGCTGAAGAAGAAGAAGAAGACTTTCTTCTTCTTCTCCTTCTCCTTCCCCTCCTTCTCCAAACCTCCTTTTCCCTCTTCTTTTTCTCCTCCTCCTTCTTATTATTTTTTTCTCCTGCTGCAGCTGCTGCTGCTGCTGCTCCTCCTCCTCCTCCTTCCATCCTCCTTCTCCTCCTCCTTTTCTCCTCCTCCTCTTTCTTCATCTTCATATTCTTCATCTTCATCGTCTTTGTCTTTGTCTTCTTCTTCCTTTTCTTCTTCTTCCTTTTCTTCTTCTTTCTTTTCTTCTTCTTCCTTTTCTTCTTCTTCCTTTTCTTCTTCTTTCTTTTCTTCTTCTTCTTTTTCTTCTTCTTCCTTTTCTTCTTCTTTCTTTTCTTCTTCTTCCTTTTCTTCTTCTTCCTTTTCTTCTTCTTCCTTTTCTTCTTCTTCCTTTTCTTCTTCTTCCTTTTCTTCTTCTTCCTTTTCTTCTTCTTCCTTTTCTTCTTCTTCCTTTTCTTCTTCTTCCTTTTCTTCTTCTTCCTTTTCTTCTTCTTCCTCTTCTTCTTCTTTTTCTTCTTCTTCTCTTTCTTTTTCTTCTTCCTCTTCTTCTTCTTTCTTTCTTTCTTTCTTTCTTTCTTTCTTTCTTTCTTTCTTTCTTTCTTTCTTTCTTTCTTTCTTTCTTTCTTTCTTTCTTTCTTTCTTTCTTTCTTTCTTTCTTTCTTTCTTTTTTCTTTCTAACCTTCTTTCTTTCTTTCTTTCTTTCTTTCTTTCTTTCTTTCTTTCTTTCTTTCTTTCTTTTTCTTTTTCTTTCTTTCTTTCTTTTCTTTCTTTCTTTCTTTCTTTCTTATTTTCTTTCTTTCCTTCTTTCTTTCTTTCTTTTTCTTTCTTTCTTTTCTTCTTTCTTTCTTTCTTTCTTTCTTTCTTTCTTTCTTTCTTTCTTTCTTTCTTTCTTTCTTTTTCTTTCTTTCTTTCTTTCTTTCTTTCTTTCTTTCTTTCTTTCTTTCTTTCTTTCTTTCTTTCTTTCTTTCTTTCTTTCTTTCTTTCTTTCTTTCTTTCTTTCTTTCTTTCTTTCTTTCTTTCTTTCTTTCTTTTTTTTTTCTACAAAAGAGTGACATTTCCAAACTATTTTGACTCACAGAGTCATTTTCAGACTCAGTTTATATAAAGAGGAGGAATAGGGGCTTGAGAACGTTGTTTGCAAAACTCTATAAATCAAATCATTTGCATTACAAAATATTTTACATTGTTGGGGAGAGCCACAGTAAAGTCCATAAAATAACAAATAAATATTTAATGAGACACCCGTGGTCGCTTTGTTTTGCATATTTTCCTATCTCAGGTAGGTCTTCTTCATTTTAGCAGCTGTAAACTATGGGGGAAGTTCTGGTTATCCACTTGTGGATTTTTGTCTTGTTCCAGAAATTGAGTTTTGCATGCAAACCTGTTAAATATCTGGCTTATTTGTTTGCAGACAGAAAGAAACACTCATGCTTGTTGGGGTGGGGGATGGCAAGGGGACAGGGGGCTATCTGTTTCCCTCACCTCCACAAAAGAAATTTCCCCAACAATTAAAGAAAATGGCAGTCAAATGTCTGGTTTTTCATCTGTTGGATTTTGCATTTTTTTTTCTGCTAGTTGCATAAAGGGATATGTGTATTTGAGAAAGACAGCAAAACTAGGTTGACTTTCACAGACAATATTTTGAATTCGTCTTCTAAATACAGCCAGAACTCCAGCCAACTGGTTTTAGAAACAAAAATTTTAGTTGTTTTTTTGAGATGTAAAATCTATGAGGGCCTCATAGTTTATGCTAGGCAGCATTTCATGTTCATAATAAAGACATTGAGTAGTCACTGACAGTTACTAGACATGTTCTATTGAGAAGTTAAAAAATAATGTTTTCAAAGCTTTGAGATGCACCTGAATCTATTTCTGTATTTGTTCTTGAATCTCAATGCTATTTTCATCACACAAAAAAAGATTTTTTTTTTTTTTTTTAATAGGAGAGAGAAACAATCAGTATCTTCCTTTTCTACACACTCCAACCAATACACAAGTTTTCTCTTAAAATAAGACACTTTGGCATTTGTATAAATACTGTGGCAGTTTTTACCTGAAGTGATATTTTAATTTCATTAATTTTACTAACAACTTTGGCCAAATACAGCAGTTTCCTCACTCAGTCTTCATAAATTAAAACCATTGAAAGCATCCGAGTCAGTCAGTAATGTAACCTTCACTGGCAAGTGACTTCATTCTGATCCATCTGTCCCCGCTTGCTGCTACCTGAAGGTTTACTGCACTAGTATTCAAAATTTAAGAACAAATTGCTCTCAACCTGGATGGCAGACTAGCAGGGCAGACCTTAGATACCTTGATCAACTTTAAAAGAAGTTTTAAAAAAGACACACGTACTGGCTACACTAGCTGGGGCAATCCTTTGCATGTCAAGACAGTCCACATCCACAAATCAGCCTCTTATGTTTTGAGTGGCTTTCAGGAATTCATTAAGGAGTTCAGTTCAGACTGAGTGAGAAACTACTCTAATATGCAGTTCCAAGAAATCACTTGGACATCAAGTTCTAGAAAAGACACGTGACATAGAGTGTGCCAAGAATGTGAAAGTTAGAATATAATGATATCCTGTCAAACACACAACAGAGGAACTAATATTTATTCACTTACTCAAAAAAAACATATGTAGTTATGCATTTGTGCATGCACGCTCATATAGTCAGACAGGCATGATATCATGTGTATGGCTTCTTAGTCTAATACTGTTGAAACAAACATACTGCAGTGAAAGCAGCAACAGTCTGTGTTTTCAGTTTACAATGTAAGGATTGTGCCATCAGCTGCAATGATTAGATTTGATGTGCCCCAAATTAGCAGTTGTTGCAATACTCTATTTAAAGTAGGGAAATTACAGTTATTTACTTGGTGGTCTTAAACTGTTGGCCACAGCTGTACATAAGAGGAAAATAAGTCCTAGATTTTCTGCCACACAAAGTTTTTTTGGGGATTGGAAAAAAAAATGAATAGTATGTATTTACGTATTGTATATTATATTTTCAGGAGGAATATCGTTACATCTACTATTTCATGACGGAGTTCATTCCCTTATGTGCATCAAAGCCTGATGTCATTATATCAGAGCCTTCACATGATGTCAGTCACCACTGCAGTAATCCCCACAATGCAACAGCATCAACAGTGCTGCCTGCAACAGTTCACGGTGGTGTCTATGTGGCTGCCAAGGATACAAACAGAAACTCACAAACTCTTTACAATAAAAGTCGCAACTCCTTTTACACTGGCCATGAACAGGCAACCTCTTTCAAAATGTCTTCACCATGTAACAGTAGATTTGTATGTTCTGACCAAGTCAGAATGGAAGATAATTCAGTGAAACCAAGTTGCAGGCCGTGTTCATCAAGGACCTCTGTGCCTTGTAGTTTGAGTTATGAGAGTGGCCTGTATGAAACATATACTAACTCCAGGGACCAAAAAGTATGCTCACAACAAACTGTCTGTAGTTGCTGTAGCAACATTTCACAAATTAGTCATAATCCCAATCCTGGATCTTGCCATTTGTACATAAATTGTGAGAATAAACAACCTTTAAACAGTATGATAACATCTGCAACCAATGGACTTACATATAGCCAGGTTTTGTCACACTCAAAATTAAAACCATCAAATGAAATTCGGCTAACCCTGAATAATTCCAGTATTATCAGATATTTACCTCAAGTCCAGAGTGATCAACTGTCCTACCTGAGCTTATCTCCTTCTTCAGCCATCAACATTAAGTCTTCATTGTCAGAGCCAGCTTCTACAGCCTTATCAACCACTCCCTTTCATACTCCGGAGAAATATTCCAATGGGAGGATTAACAATGGCCTCTGTACCTCAGTGACTAGTGCCAGCCTCAGCCCAGGTAGTATATGCAAAAGTTCTTCATTCCACTCCTGCAGTTCCCAGCTGAGCCTCAGTAATAACTACTTAGCAAATGGCTCAGTTTCAAAACATGCTGACAAGGGGGATATGCTGCCATTAGATGTCATTAACAGAGTTGTTCTCTATCCGGGACTTGTGAGTGGAAACACGAGCAAAATCACCTCACTACCCCAACAGGTGGATCATACCAAGAAACGTGCAAGTTCCACAGGTTTGTACCCTTCCTCTTCTCTACCACCAGACTTGAGAAAACTAAAGACAAAAAAGACAAACAAGGATTCTAACCATGTGACACTAATTCATGCTTCATATGCATCTCTAGAGGATTCTTTAGCAGGCAGCACTGATGCCAGAGATCACCCTAGCATGGACAGGCTAGAATATGATGAAGATACAGTTCAAAGATATTCCCATGCTAAAAGTGCAGTTCCCCAGACATCAAATCATGCAGCAGTCAGTTCAAATTGGCAGCCACTCCAAAATAACAGAGTAATCAGAGATAAAACAAGTGAAACATCAATCTGTGTGAATAAGTTTCCAGCTTCTACACTCAGCTTTAGACAGAAAATAAAAGGATACATGAACAGGAAACAAATGAAGATAACAGAACCCAAACCTTCATCAGCAGCTAGATGCAGTGACCATTTTGAGTCACGCTTGTAGTGAGATTCCAGTGATGATGACTGCATACCCATCAAGTGCCAAATAGTGTAGTCTAAAAATAGTCTAGTCTATAAAAAATATGAATCTAGCACCATTTGCCCGATGAACCACTGACATTAAAATGAGCTATTTACTTTTCAAGACAAAAATGGTAAGTACTTTCACAAGCCATGTTCACAAGTTCTAAGATGCTTCTTTTAAAAAAAAAAAGACTGTTAGGCTAAATATAAATATATTAACTGGATCACTAGATTTATCCTATGTTGCTGAGATTTAAAAACCTGACCCTGTAAAAATTTTTTCATCTTCTCCTTCTTCCATATCATCTCAAACAAGCACAGGTGTGTGACCTGCCATTAGCTGAACGCACCAAATCTAAAACTGTTTCTTGTGTTCAGGTTAAACTTGTTTAGTATCAAACAGCTATGTTCGTAATTGACCATTATTAATTTAATTCTTGTCTTGTAAAACTGTTACCATTCCGCTTCCCCCACTCACACTCACACACACCCATACCCCCTCCCCCCCACCCCCCTAAATTTTCATTCTTTCTGTGGCTGCCAAGTATTATATTAACTTTTTCTGACCAAGATATTTGTTACAAAATAAAAAATGGCAAGTGACTATGACTATGACAGTTCAGTAACATATATGATGCCTGGAGCAACGAGTAAACACATAAAATGTTATCTGATGTGAAAAGAATTAAAGCTTTCTTTCTTATATAAAGCAGAATTTTATACTCAGCTGTGAGAAGATGAACAGCTAGCCAAATGGTTAGAACACTCTCATGCAGGACACCAGGATTCCAGTGCTCAGTAAGTGATTACAGTTTTCCTGTTGGTGCCAAAAATAAACACACTAGCCTGCACAGTTCACTACATTATTCATGTGGACCTAAATTCTCAGACTCTAGACACAACCCATCAAAGTCCGACACTGGTATTATAGACATTAAGGCTGTATGCAAAATTGAAATAGACTCTTTGTTGGTCGTGTGTGAAGAGAGTCATTAGAGAAAATAGCAGTGACTAAACCAAGGCAGAAGCAGATCATGTGTGTCACAAGTGATTGAAAGAACACCGGCAGAAGCTTGTGGCTAGACATGAATACCAATGCACCGGGCATGGACTATAAGAAGAAGACCAAAGCAGACTAAGAGAAATAATGCTGGATGGTCTAAGAAACTAAAGTCAAGAACTGTTTCATGCCAGCACTAGAGCAGTTAATTTCCAATTAAATTGTGGATGCTTATGTTCCCATGTGAAAAAATCTATAATTGGATCATAAAGGGTACATACAAAATTATTATAGCATAAGTGACAACAAGAAATTAAACAATTAATAAATATTACCAGCCAAAAAATACTGGCCAACTTTGATTAACAATTGGAAATATTGGTCTCAAACTCAGACCTCCAATACTTTCAGAGCTAACCCATGTTATCCTATTGTGTTCACAGAGTTTCTTCTATCAGTAGTTACATCAACCCACTTTATCCTATTGTGTTCACATATTTTTTTTTCTGCCAATAGTTGCATTAAACCACTTTTTAAAATTGTTAACAGAATTTTCTGTATCACTAGTTACACTAACCCATTTTATTATATCCTGTTACAAGAATTTCCTCTGAGAACAGTTAAAATAACCCACTTTATCATACTGTTTTATTAGAATTTCATTTGTTAATAGTTACAGTAATCCACCTTATCATGTTTTATTACTAGAATTCCTTTGATTAATTATCATATAAAAATGCTCTGTCATACTTTACTACTATATCTCATCACACTATCACGCTTCACAATACTTTGTTTTAAGTTGAAAGAAAATGGAAATTATGGTCATGCCCAACAAGAAAGAAATACGAAAGTTTGAAGTATGTGCGATTGGCAGAAAATCTTAAGTAAGTCAATAGAAACAACCATCCTTCAACAGTCAAATCATCTGATTGTAGAAATGTGACCAAGAATTGCCGTGACAAAAGTGGCCTTTAGTAAGACGCCAAAGATTCTCACCAATGTGAAGATGTTAATTGAAGTGAGAAAATGAGCATGGAAGTACTATGTAAAAGCTGTTTTGTTTTATGAATGTGGAGCATTTGCAATAAGCAAACAAGCTGAAAAACATTTACTCCTGACAGAGATGTGGTTTCTGAGAAAAATGCAAGCAATATATCATGGAATGATAGAAAAACAAACATAGCAGATTTCACTGAGGACTGATGAAAGTCATAGAGGAAGATAAAGAGATAAATACATAGATAACCTGGCCAGATGGATGGGGCAAGACAAGAATGTTGAACTTATTCTTGATTCTGGTGATTGTATCAGATGGCAAAACCTGACAGCCTATGCTTACCACATGGCAACTGATGATGATGATGGTGATCATACTTTGTTACTAGAATTCCATCTGTTAATTATGACATTATTATACTCCATCATACTTTGCTGTTAGAATTCCATACTCCATCATATGTGTTGTTAGAATGTCTTTGTTCATTAGTTATATTAACCTCATCTATTATACTTTTTTACTAGAATTTGTTTGTTTTATATTTACTTAAACTTACATTATATTTGTGTTAAAATGCCCTGTTATTTACATTAACCAACTGTACTATATTTGTTCTAAAAATCCCTCTTTCAGTAATTACTGTAAATATGTTCTATCATATTTACATTAATGGATACTGAACTTACTGCTGTTTACATTCTTCTAACTTGTCTCTAAATTGTAGTATGAGGAGTAACTATTTACTGACTATTTCACAATCACTAAAGAAGATTTAGATTTTTTACTGCATTTATTACAGAACCACTTTTGGAATGCTTTAAATCAAAAAACATCTTGAAACCATTGAAAACATGATTGTCAACTTCAGAACATTGTTTGTCAATAAATGTTTGTATAGTGTTTTCTTATTTACTCAAATATGTGTCATACTGAAAAAAGTGAAGACATGAATATTGCATGCAGATTGGCCAGTTTGGTGAAGAGCCTTAAACAGCACATGATCCACGCAAAAGAGCAAACAGATCACCATGGTCTAGAAAGAATGATTCCAGATTGTGTCCAGAGTTAGAGTTGCAGTTGCTACAGAGATCCTGTTTTAAATCCTTCCAGTCACACAAGGTCAAATTCAACTTTAAACCTTTCTGGCCATTTTCAGATGCCAAACTTGTATATCCATTAAATACTTTAATAACAGCAGTTCAAAATCCCAGCAATCATTCTTAATGACCCTCTATTTAATCTCATAATAATTTGCCAAAAAAAAAAAAAAAGCTGTATATGATGGTGGACATGGGAAACCAAGTGTGGCTTGGACATAAAAAATCACAAGACATGAAGTTGGTAGGAGACTGAGTGGCTTTCTGTCATGCCATAATGAGTTAAACAATGGGTGGCTTTCTGCCTTGACATGATGAGGGAAACAATTGGTCACTTTCTGCCATGCCATGATGAGGAAAACCATGGGTGGCTTTTTGCCATGCCATGATAAGGGAAACTATGGGTGGCTTTCTGCCATGCCATAATGAGGGAAACCATGGGTGGATTTCTGCCATGCCATAATTAGGAAAACCATGGGTGGCTTTCTGCCATGCCATAATGAGGGAAACCATGGTTGGCTTTCTGCCATGCCATGATAAGGGAAACCATGGGTGGCTTTCTGCCATGCCATGATGAGGGAAACCATGGGTGGCTTTCTCCATGCCATGATGAGGGAAACCATGGGTGGCTTTCATCATGCCATGCTATGATGAGGGAAACCATGGTTGGCTTTCATCATGCCATGATGAGGGAAACCATGGGTGGCTTTCTCCATGCCATGATGAGGGAAACCATGGGTGGCTTTCTGCCATGCCATGATGAGGGAAACCATGGGTGGCTTTCATCATGCCATGATGAGGGAAACCATGGGTGGTTAGAATGATTAGATGTAAACATTCTGTGTTTTCAGACATGTTATGAGAAGGAATGGACTAAAAAACTTGGCAACAACTGGCAAGATTGATGGAAAGAGCAATGGGGAAGGCAAAGTGACAGATACCTGGATTGCTTGACTATATGGATAGGGGCCCGACAAGAACACTGACTTGATCCATGATATCGATGAGAGTGTGAGATAGTGAAATATGACCATCTATCCTTATCAGCATGACACATAATGATGGTGATGATGTAACAACAGAGCTGGATACACATTTGAATGGTATGTAAATTTGGAGAGAAAAAAAAGCCACAGATCTTTCTGTCCTGAGGGACACTGTCTTCTGATATTTTTTTCATGATTGCCTTCTTGCTTGCCTCAATACTCCAGCATGCATCTTTATTGATTTTGTATTTCTGTGTGTAACTGGCTGTAACTAAGTGAGTGTGAGAGACAGGACATTTGTGCCAGCTATGCTGTGTTTGAGTGATAGAAATGTCACTTCCGAAAAACCATGACTGCTATAGCTAAGTGTGGCTCAGAGTGTATCTGTGATTGATAAACAGATATCAGTTTAACTCTCACTTGCCTTCGCACAAACATAAAATGCAAATAAATTTCTTTTTGACAAAAGATAATTGTTTTTTAATGATACGTTTATTGTTTTTAGCAACAGTGTAAGTTTGTGGTTTATACATAAATGTTAGGCAATCATCAACAATTTGCAGTTAAAAACATTAGTGCGTGTACAACTGGTTCTATAACATGGAGGAAGTGTTTATCAAAGAATATAAATAACACATGTATTTATAAACTAACAATAGATGCAAATAAAATGTGAAAATTATTGATAGCTAGAGGGATAAACAACTCACAGAAAATGAGAATAATCAAATGTTATGTATACTAAGCCCTACCGTATGGTGCAAAAAATTGGACAATCAACAGGTAACTAGAAAAGTTTTCTCTGGAAAGGCGGATGTACAAAAGAATAGGTTGTATTTCCTGGAAACAAAAACAGTGAAATCCTGAGGTTCTGAAAAGACTGCAAGAGCGAAGAGA